CCTCCCCTCCCTCCCCCCAAAATGAGGAAAACAATTCCACCTAATAATAAACCGTGGTGTTTTTCCCTCTTTAACGCCTCTCTCAGCACATATCACAGCCATCGTCCACACTAGTCCCGTTCTCTTTGTCGTCTCGTCTATTTTTATCTGCACCAGCGTCGCGGCTCAGAATCTACAGATCCATCATTCTAATCCAACGTTTGTGTGGCTGTGAAATTTAAATGAGTTTTTTTTTTGGATCACAACAGGATAAATCCTAATGACTCTGGTGATTCGTCAAGTCACTGATCACTGTCAGGTTATTAACTGAGGAGTCAGAAACCTCACATGTACAGAACTGTATCAGAGCCACTCAGTAATTTTCACCTTAGACTTATCATCACCGTCTGGTCACAGAAAATGTCTTTAACCCCTTCATGACCAACTGTGGCCCGGCCAATCACAGCATGTCTGGACATGTGACCCATTGTAGTGCATTTTAAATCACACATCAATCTGTCCTGCATGTCCAACATTTCAGTAATATACTATATTATATATATATGTAACTAGTCCATAATAACTAAAGTGTATAAAACCAGTGAAAGATTTTTTTTTACACATTTTCAAAAAATGAAATTTTCAATCATTCATTTCAACAACATCCATAATGAAATGTGAAATGTGCCCAATTTTGAAAAGGCAGCATGTTCGTCAAAGTAGATGTTTTAGAATAGTACAGTTGATTTCTTATTGTACTGTAATCAAACAGTTGTAATTATCAGTCATCCGCTGCTGTTTGGTGATTGTTTTCTTTGAGAAGGCATTCATTCAGGGGACAGATGTGGACTGCAGGCAGGCCAGTCCGACAGGTGAAGAGATTTCTTGTCAAAAAGTTTGCATTCAGTGTGTCTCTAAAAGTCGAGAGCCTCTGCATCAATAATGCATTCATATACGGGAGGTGATTAATGCCCTCACTACTGACACCAGAACTGTCCAGAACTGTCCAGAACCTGTTCTTTGGACTTTTTCTGTTTTCTGTTGTTGTTACATATAAGACAAAGACAGACTCTGTGTTCCAAAAATATAAAGCTGCCATCACCGGGCTGCACACTGTCAGGATGAGCTGCATTACCGTGAGCCACCACATGTCTGCTGCAGCCACACTCTCCTGGTAACACTGGCCTGTTCTGTTAACACGGCTCTGTCACGGCCTGGTTGTGTCTCTGCCGACTCTCTCAGAGCTGTGATCACTGCAAGCTCAGCTCCTGTTGTCACAACAGCCAATGAGGTCGCACTGATGCTAAACGCTTTGATCAGTGTTTCCACACACACACATTTCTTTTCTCAGCCTTGTGTCGCACTCGCATATGTTTTACGTTGCACCAACGTAAGGTTTTTTTTTTTTTTCCAGAAACGTGTCATTTGCATGTTGCATGCGTGTGTGTGTGTCTGTTGTGTACATGCTTTATTCCCTGAACAGTGCTGGTTGTTGGAGTAAGTAGGTCAGAGTGTGTGATGAAGAGCGGACTCATCTTTATTTTCCTCTTAGATACCACAGTCCTTTGTTTACCTTTGGGGGGAAAAACAGGACGAGGTTTTTAACGGTTCACTTCAGTAGATAAGACTGTTGTTGGTGTGTGATGTCATGGTGAAACTCCAGGACGGTCGTTCCTCTGGTGTCTGCTGTACCAATCACAGCACAGACCCACTGTAGTCATCTGCTTTGACCTTTATCTCTTATTTTTTTAAATTATTATTTAAATCATCTACGTCGCCTGACAACACACAGCGGTGCCGCAGCAGACAGATGGACGCAGTCGTTTCCGATATCACAAACACAAACCTGACACACTGGTTGACGAGAGGAGCTGCAGAATGACTGTAAACAGATGGGAACTCTCTCCGTCTCAGGCAGCGTCTCGTCTGTTTGTCAGGCAGCAGCAAGAAAGTATGGATGCTGTCAGGGGCCATATGATGCTGCCTCCGCTGTTCACACACACACACACACACACACCGACAAGAAGGGAGATTGATAGCAAAGCGGCAAGGACGAGGAGACAACGAGGAGTAAACTGTCCTTATAGAGAGGACGCCGACGCTCAGAGGGAGTGGAGGGAGAACGGGAAGGAGTTGACTTCGCGTTGACATCGCTGGTTTTCTTTACGTCTGGGCGGGAAAGGTCAGTTCTGTCTCCGTCAGTTATGACCGGGATCAACTGACTCTCGTACTTGTGTGCAAACGTGTCTGATTGGAGCGACGCGGTCCCTGTGAAATCCTCACGGAGTCAAAGAACATTCCGGGCCTCGGTCTGTTTTCCGCCTGACCTACATGCACTGCTCTCAGTTTGTTTAAGATGACACATGAAGTCACACTTGGAGCCTCATCCTAAATGTGTGTGTGTGTGTGTGTGAGAGCTCAACAGTTTAATAATGATGGACGTTTCACAGAAAATGTTGCTGTCACATTAAGGCAGGGATTAGCTTCTCCTTAAGCTCCTCTAACTCGGCTGTCTCTCTCCGGGGGTTTACAACGGCGGCCAACACACTCGCACACAAATAAACTACAGGCACCAAAACAGTGATTAGAATTGTAACAAAAAAAAACTAGTTTTTGAATAATGTAAAGGAGGAAGACACTCTTGTATGTGGATGCAAAAAAAGAAATCACATTTGCATGTGCACAAGCAGAACGTAAAATCTCTCAGTGTGTGCTATTTCCAGCAGTGTGGCAGCAGTAATTAAAGGTGTGACAGTCAGACAGGTGGAGGTGATAATAATGAGGCACAGCTATTTCTGTTCTCCGCTGTCTGCTCCTCACCTCTGTCTTCCTCTGCTCCTTTTTACATATTACACATCTCTCTCTCTCTCTCTCTCTCTCTCTTTCTCTCTCTCTCTCTCTCTCTCTCTCACACACACACACAAAGCATTTTGTCAGAAACACACACACACACATAAACACAGAGCTCCACCCTTCCCTCCTCACCTCCTCTTGAACTCCCCCTCAGTCTCTCTGTTCCAGATTGTTCTAGATTTTATTTCCATTGTTTCCGTTGTTATGATGTCAGCATCTCCTCCTCATTCCGCCGCGTCCTTCGTCGCTATTCGTCGGTTCTGATGCACGGATACTTTGACTAAAAACCCAACAGACAGATTAAAGCAGACTACATGAAAGAGAGAGAGAGAGAACAGGAAGTGGACAGGGAATAAGTTGGTGTTGGAGCCGGAGTGGGATGTGGTTCAAAGTAAACAAGAAACGAGAGCTGAGCTGGAAGATACTGCAGAAGGGAGTACTTGTACCTGTGTACCACTACTACTACAGTACTTAAAGTATGAAATACTGGGAAAAACGTGACATCCAACCATGGCAGAAAAAAAAAAAATCCAATTTCAGTTCATATTTGTCTTGATCAGAATGTAATGGTTTAAGGTGGAATTATTCAGATGGGGATAAAAAATCATTACTGCATTAGTTCAAACTATGGAACGTCACAGTTGTCAAAGTGAAGAGTTGGCAGGTTGATTCCACAGGTTGACTGATTAAAACGAGCCAATCAGCAGTCTCCGTTCCTCTATATATATACATATATATATGTATGTATATATGTATATATGTGTATATATATGTATATATGTGTATATATGTATATGTGTGTATATATAGACATATATGTATATGTATGTATATATGTATATGTGTGTATATATAGACATATATGTATATGTATGTATATATATATGTATGTATATATGTATATGTGTGTATATATAGACATATATGTATATGTATATATATATGTATTTATATGTATATGTATATATATATATATATTTGCGGGCTGGACCAGCCTGGTTCATAGTTCTGACAGTTTGCCCGCTGGCCAGGGGTTTAAGACCCCTGTAATAAAGCATCAATATTTGGATGGACGGTGGAAATATTACATTTACCGTGGTGCCGGTGCATCTTTCTGCCCATGCATTATGTATTCCGGTGTAGGAAACCTGTGAGGCCAGGTTTTCTGGCGATGTGTAATTTGTCTTGTTCCATTCGAGGCCTGACATAAAAATATAATATAAACACAGGCTCTGTTTATTCATCCCTGTTTTTAATCATGTTTTGTTTTCCGTGTTGTACATAGTGTAATCGTACATTCATTATCACCTCCTCTCTCCTCCGTCCGCTCCACTGTGGATTGTAATGAACGGTCCGGCAGCTCAGGGCTCCATCTGCCTCCACTCCACCACCGTCTTTATTTGTACAGTTTTTTTTTTCTTCTGCGATCGTTGCTGCTCATACTTCAGATTTAACAGCGTTGACCTTTCACTGTGCTCCAAACACGGACGGGTTTGTTCACTGTGGTGGAAAAATAATTTACATCTACCTCTGGTCAATGTACATCTTACCTGGTGGGTGTTGGTAAATGCAGTGTACACGCACACACATACTCATACTATTGCTCATATATATGTGTGTATATATATATATACACACACATACACACATCAGAAGTATCTGTGGAATAGCTTCAGGCCTTTTCACTTTCTTATCCCAGTGCTGCATAACTGGCATCTGTGTGTGTTTGTGTGCATGTATGTGTGTGTTTGTTGAACATGTGAATGCTATCACACACACAAATGTTGGGTTTCTCTGACCCGTTGGGAAAAGACGAGCTGCTCAATTACGGTGGCGTCGGGGGAAGAAGATGAAAAGATGAAGCAGGAATTTTTATTGAGTGGATTTGAAGATTAAATCTAAGACATTTCTCAGCAGTAAACTGGTGAGGAGGGTGTGTGTGTGTGTCGGGGGGGGGGTGTTCTGAAGGGACCACGGCGTTTACACTCCACACAGAATTACATTTATTTTATCTCTCTCATTTCCTCAGACATTATCTCTGTGTTACAGTCTCTACTCTGACGTTTCCTCTAAATGTTGAACACCTTCACATGCAGGAAACTCCTGATGGATCTGTGGGTCAGATCAGTCCAGCATGTTCTGACCTAAATATTTCCCTTGTTCTGCAGACTCTGTTTGGCCGGTGTCTATGGAGAAGGCGGCGGACGCAATCGTCCAGGCTCCATCCCCGCGGACGGCGCCCTGTGGTCATGGCTGTGTGAGGTGGAGGATTGTACTGTAGAGATGCCAGGTGAGAGAGGAGCGACGGGGCAGAGGGAGGGAGGGAGGGGGAGGAGGGGTGATTGAGATGGTCCAAAGATGAGTTTGGCACTGCTTTAAAGGGAGGTGACATTTCTATAAGAGGAGGGAGGGGAGAGGAGGGGGAAAAGGGGGGGGGGGGCAACCCACACAATTTCCACACCATTGTGGCCTCTGTCTCCCAGGGTCATAAATCACTCTGAACACGAGCCGACAGGAAACTGTTGTTGCGTCTTAGCAAAATATTGTCAGTGAAATCATCTCTCTCAGACTCAGGGACAGGAGGAAAAAAAACCCCAGTAAAATAAATACACTGACGTCATATTTACAGTTGATGTTTTTTGTCGTATTTCCTTTTAACGACACGCTGGGTTTCCTTAATAACCAACATTCATTAAGCTAACGGTCCGTCTCCACCTGTGGGTTGTATTTTTTTTGCCGCAGCATAAACACCTGTGGTTGCTGTGCTTGTTTCTTCTCGCGTGTTCTACGTGTTGCTGTGTTTTGATTGGCTGCTCCAGCAGCGGCTTTTGCTGTTTCATCAGAATGTGTTGCGTTGCTGCAGCTGCAGCTGCCGCTGCCGCGTGGACTGTTGATGCTGCAGCTGTTTGAGCTGCTGTTCGTGGGGGTTGGTGCTCTCTCTTTGGAGGTTCTGAGGTTCCCTCCTGTTGTTCCTGTTCCTCAGGTTTTGCTGTTGCTGCAGCAGATGTTTCTGAAAGGTCTGCCTCCCTAGGAGGCGCTCATGTGTTTTTTATCCCTCCTACTGGGCCATGGCTCCTACTTATCTCTCTACCTTTAGCTCGAGGTGTTTTCTCTGAGCCTGAGAAATCTAGCACCCTGGACAGCTCCTCTTTGAAAACATTGGTTTTAATCAAGCTGTTCTCCACAGAGAAGCTGCGTCGGACATTTTTCTCTACTTTTAAATGACTTTGTTTGATATATATTCAACTAACGTTATTTTCTTAAAATCAACAGTCACCTCTGGTCACCTGACTGACGTGTGAGGCTCTGGTGTCACTTAAGTGATTGTTACTACGTTATGTCAGTGTTGGTGCTGCAAGTCTCTGCAGTTGTAGCTCGGGAGGCTCTTCACATTCTTTGGTACCACCTAGTGTTGGAAAGGGGTACTAGCATCTTCTCCATTCAGTGCCTGGAAAGTCTTTGAATGAGATCCATTTTATTCCTTAGATAAGGCAGAGAAGCAGCCTGACGTGAAAGACAGAATTCTACAAAGAAGGAATTCTCTGATGGAGTGAAGTAGTTCATCTTTTTTAAAAAAGGAAAGGGGGGGGGGGGGTTCCAGTCCAGTGGTCAGGATGGTCAGGATTTCAGATTACCTTAGAAAACGAGGAAGAGCAAAAACTCTTCTAAAGGACTGACAACACTGTGTGATGGCAACATCAGCGCTGGTGGAACTCACTTTGTAGTTTGGGTTTTTATGACCTTCTTTATACGTTTTCACACATCAGAGATTTATTATTTATCTGGGTCATTACTCTGATCAGGAGCACCTATCTTCAGGGCACTCAGAGTCTCAGCGCCCCCTATTTTGTCTTCTTATGTACATGAAGATGAATGAAGATCATGACAAAGATTAAAACATGTTCTGTCTGATCTCTGGTTTCCTTTGAAGGCTTCACCTGTGAAAAACCATCAGAAGAATTTTTAAACACAGACCAGAGCGTCAGGAAGATGACATTGATTTCTCTTTCTACTCCAAACTGAAAGTCCACATTTACGACCAGAGTCTTGTTGCTGTCCCATGTGACGTGCGACGTCTTCTGCCATCGGATCCCAAAGGAACGACTCCCTTTATTTATCTGATATCTCTGTTGGAGACGTTAAAGGTTACAAGGTCAAAGGTGACTCCCATCCTTCAGGGCCATCGACTGTCGCTGCTGTCATCATCACACCAGGGTGCCTCAGCTGCACACAGTCCATTAGTCTGGGTTTCAGGAACCAAAAGACCGTCTCTTTACCATCAGAGACGGTGTTATTGGCCCCTGTTTTTTATTTATTTATTTTCTATTTTTTTTTACCTAAAACAAACAAAAACGTTAACCCTTCTGGTCACAATTTTCCTTCTGTCTCTTCCACCAAACCTTGAATTCACCAGCTAGGTTTCACCGCCTGAGGGACGGGGTATAATGAGTTCATTAATATGAGTCTTCTCCAGGACGTGGGGCAGTGAAGACCCTGCGATGATTCCCCTGGACTAATATAGACACTTTCATATTGGATGTGCGTTATTAAATTAGCGGCGCTGATGTGAGCCGCGGGACACGGTTATGTCATATCACCACCGGCCATTCATTTACCATAGTGATGAAAAGACAACACGGGGCTGATTTAATACCCTCTGATCTAATAACGGGGTGATAACTGTCCCCCACAGATGTGCTGTGGCTGTGCTTGTATGTCTGTATGTTAACTGGTCTGGTGTGCTTGTATGTCTGTATGTTAACTGGTCGGTGTAATTCTCGTGGCCCCGGTGCCGACACAGTAAGTGGCAGTAATGCGATTGCTCGCAGTGACACGGTGACAGAGATGGATTTTCAGCGCTGCTGTGTTTTATTGAATCTCAACATTGTTTCCTCCTCACATCCATCAAACGCCCGCACCTGCTGTCTGCAATAAATCCACTGACAGGTCAGGTCACGTCAACCAAGAGGTGGTTCCTTGTTTTGATATAATTTCATTTAGAAATGACGCTGAGGTCGTCATCGCAGTTATCACATAGAACATAGAACATAGAACATAGAACGTGGATGGACAACTCCAGGTCTGTTTCCTTCCTTCTGGCCGACGTCTCTCACACCAGATCACAACCGACTTTTTTCCAAACGTTCTTGACGTGATCTGCCTCTAAAACTGAGCCTCAATCTGAAACAAGTCCAATAAAAAGATGAGAAGGGATTTGATCTAAGATGATCTGACTGACCTCGTCATATCGTTCCACTGAAGCAGTTACATTAATGAACTTTTGTCTCATTTATTCCTCATTTATAAATTAGCCATAGGAGAACTTAATGGAGTGAGGAATTTTTTTTTCTTTTTTTTTACCCTACTGGACAAAATATTATCTCAGCTAATCCCCCCCCCCACTCCACCCCCATAGTCTTTCTGTTACAGTCATGATGAGGTGATGGTTTCAGGGTCTGGACGGCGTAATACCTGCTGATTTAAACAGAACTGTCAGAGAACAGACGGCCCACAGTCATCCTCGCTAGCTGCAAGTTCCGTCTCCGTTCGTGGAAGTCAGCGGATTTTCTTCAGTGCTCGAGGAATAAAGACAAGCAATACAGAGGGTGAAAGAGAGGGAGGTGGTGGTGGGAGGGAGAGGGGGGGGCATTAACACAGCAGCATGTACTGTAGATCCATTGTAGTGAAAGTAAATGGAGTCTGCGGACGCTTCTTTGCTCAGTGGGTTCAGCCTGAATAGATTTACTGATGGAGAGGATAATTGCTCTTCTATTAGCGACGCTTATCATTTTTCACATTTGCATGACATTTCAATGTACCGACCGCCGCTTCCCCATAAGTCATGGACTAAAATGTAAAACAGCAGTAGGCGGCGGTTCCACTCACGGGCACCGTGAAAGGTCAAATATCAGGAGGTAAAGAGAGGAATACAATGAAATGGAATCCTTGGCAGAGAAACTCTACACATTAATTTAATGTGCCGAACAGAACGACTCCTGCGTGATTTCATTGGACCTGTTGTCGTGTAAAACCCGGGGATACGTGCAGTAGGTGTGGGGACTGAAAGGTGGTGACGAGCCTGACATGCTGTGCACCGTGGAACGGTTCGTTATCGCAGGTGATGAAAGGTTACAGAGGCCGAGTGGGCATCGGATTAAAGAGTCGTGTCCAGGAGGGACTGACCAACGATGTCAGCTGCCGTTTACAGCAGGTTTACGTCACATGAAGACGCCAAAGCGTAAACATGTTTTACTAAATGCAAACAAAATTGCATAGAGAATATCACCAGGTGTGGTTTGATCCGAACTTAATCCGAAAAAATTTCAGCATCAAACGTAACAGGGACACTATCACCTCAGCCATTCACAGTAAAAACGTCACGTGCTGTGAGTATTGTAATGACTTTGCATTGACGTTATTCCACTTACACACTGTAATCAATAACCAATCAATGAGCTCTAATGAGACGTTTCATATCTTTGTCCTCAGTTCAGTTCTATTTGGTTCTGATGAACTTCTGTTTCCTGTTACAGATAATTGGTCCCCTGAAAACCAGGTCCTCACAAGGGAGTGAATGTGAGTACACACACACACACACACACACACACACATACACACACTTAGACAATGTCAATGCACATCAGTGCTGTGACCAGATTAACAGCCCCGGGGGCAGGACTGCTGGTACCTGCTCAAGCCTCAGTGCACGTCACTGAACACTGTCACACTGTCACAGCGCTGGTAAACAGTCACTCCGACCAACCCTCCGGACATCAACTCTCCTCCACATCCCATCCACGTCCACAAGGGGGTTACACGGTTACGTGGCCCCCCCGAGGCTGCGATAACCCGGCTGTCAGTCAACCGCACAGTAAAGGATATAGTAACGCAAGGAGAGGACGGACGGATGGACGGATGGATGGATGGATGGATGAGCGCGGGGGGTTCTGAAAGCGGGATTAGGACGTAGGAAATGTCAGACGCAGACAGTGAGACGATGGAGGATTGGACGAGAGATGAAGTGATGAGATGAATTGAGAGTGAAAGCTGAGAGAAAATGAAAAAAAAGGACGAGCGGCGATGAGACGGTAGAGATTGGTTGGATAGCAGTCGAGAGTCGAACGTCGTTCGTTCACCATTCAGACGTGTTTTTCATGCATATGGAACTTATGATAAACATATTTCCCTCCTTCCGTTGAGCTTCCCTCTAGATCCGAGCTGCTTTTATAATTCATTCATCCTTCGCCCAAGGATAAGCTTTGGGCGTCGTGTTGTACTGACAGCTGAGGTATGATGAAGTATCCAATTACTGCTGGTAAATACTCTCAGTGAAGACTCACAGTAGAGCACACCTTCTGTCTAGGAACAAATGTAGTATTTGTTTTCGGTGCGTCGACCCCGTGACCTCAAGGTGGCGTTATAATGAATTCTGCAGGTCCTTTATTCACAGTGTTGTGTAATAACTCTGGAGTGCAGCTGTGTGTTTAATTAAATACATCCATGGAGGTGAATTCATGTCAGGTCACCGATAATAAAACCAGAATTCAATGGCCATAATTAAAGGTGACCAACAGTTTAACGCGCCAAAGAAATTCCCTTCAAAATAAAAGCCTTGGAGTTTTATTTTGTCTTCCCAACAGAGGGCAATGTGTGCACAAATTAGAAATGTTGATTTAAATATTTATACCAAGAGCAGTCTTTGTGAGACCAAAACCTGGTTTCAGCAGAAAGAAACCGTGGTGAAGCTCTCCAGGTTCACCTGCGTTTGCGTCGTAGGGACAGGAAGCAGCAGCAGATCTGTCCCGGTTCTCCTGACTCGCACGGCAACAGGACCCTGTGATCTCACAGTCAGTAGAGTGCTGCTCCTCTTCACACAGGCTGACCATGTGCATTAGAAGTGTTAGCTCGTATTTTAGCGCTCGACTCTACAGCACGCTGCTGTCATCCCAGGCCCAGCATCTGCAGCATGCGTGTCCTTCAGTAGCCTGAGATGAAAACACATCATCGATCCTTTGATTTCAGTAACGAGTAATGAGGCTGACGCAGGATCCTGCAGTTTTACACCCCGGCAACGAGAGAAATGAAAACCAGATGAAAAGTGCAGGGACGTGAATACGAACCGAAATATACAAACTTTGCTCTGAGCCGTGTATTGGCGTAATCAACACACTCACGTGTGTTATTCTTGGTTCTATTCACAGGTTGTTTAAAAATACACTGTCATGAATCACACCCCCACACACACCCTCACACACACTCACTGTGCATTTAAACATGCAGTCGCACAAACTCAACAGTCGTGTTAGTCCCAGGCAACGACTTGAGCTCTGAACATAGTATAAAATGATGGAGTGGTACATCGACCAGACCAGTAACAGTAGCAGTTTAGTCCTTAACTCTTACTTGGCATAACATTTTATCTATTTTCTCTCCTTAAATCTCAACCTCAGTCACTTATTCTGTAGATAATCTTGTCTGAAACTACGCAAAACTTTTGCAGATTTCCCTAATTCTCATCTTATGAAGCAATACTTTCCCTTTATTTAGAAGGTTTGGTTTCGTTATTTGGCTTTTTATTTCCATCTTTCTCACCTGGGGCCAGTGTTGTAGTGCATGAAATTGGATAAGATTTCTCCGATTCAGCACTGTGGGTTTGACTTTTTCTAGGCAGTACATTTCCTACGACTCTGTGCGGATAATTATCCACGTTAGACACAGCTTCGCATGTTCGGTGATAACATCGTTAAAAAGCTGCTGCTGCTGCTGTTATTTTTGGCCCAAACAAAGTAACAGTGTGACTCACTGCAGCTCGCTGTTCATAGTAACGTAAACACTGTCACGACTCATCCACTAGGCGGATTTCAGACCAGATGTCTACGAACGTGGACATTTAGCAAACACTTTGTTTTTTAAAAAAAGATGCTGTTTTTAAGTCAACTTCAGAATACTACGGTGTCTGGATGTGAACAGATGTAAAATATTACGTTAAATACTGCAGTCAACGGAAAACAGGAAGGTTGAATTGGTTTTCAGTGGCAAATTCATTCGCTGTAAAGTGGCTCAAGTGGAAAATAGGCTTTAAATCCCAATAATTTTATTGGATAACCAGATCACTCTGTTGAAGCAAGCTGTATTGTATGTTGCTAAAATCTACCGCAAGAGGGCGACAGAACCACGTGTTTCAGGAAACGGCCGGAACCATTGTTTCGGATAGGATAGAACAGGGGAGTCATAAACTTTGACGGACCAAGATGGCGACAGGAAATACATGCGATTTCAAACATAAGCTTGTATAGCTTGCACATTTAAACTAATTATGCACCTTTTAAAAACTATTATCATTTATTGAAAATTCAGAGCGGTGTTTCGGCATATTACCTATTATATAACTATTACCATTAATTGAAAATTCAGAGCGGTGTTTCGGCAACATCCAGAGGCATTTAGGAAAAGAATTCATCTCGATTTAAGTCGCTGCAACGTGCAGTGAACGTCGTTGTTGTGAGGCTGTGGACACAGGTGACGTATCCGATTAAACCTTGTAAAAATGTGGGGGGAAATTGAACCTCGAGTTACTACAGAGGTTAATGTGTGTGAAAAACTGGACAAGAATGAACAGCAACCAGAAGTGTCGGTTGTGGCTTCGTCACACAGCTGCACACAGCAAACGCTGCAGAAGACTCAGGTGAGGGTGGAGTGACGCTGTGACATGTATGCGAAACAATTCAGTGTTTAAGCAGCTAATGTTTGTTTTTGTTTGTTTGTCTGTTTTCTTCTGTTTCAGGGTCAGGGCCATGTGAAGTCCCGTTTTTTTAACGCTATGATAGAGGCCGTAGCCCAGAGTGGGAGCCTGGTGAAGAGCCAGCAGATCGGAGACGCTGAGCTGACCCTGGAGGAGCGAAGAGAGGAGCTGTTGTGTCAGTACAGAAGCAAACCGCTGGTTTTCCTGGAGAGGTATCATGTATGTTCACACAGTATACACGCACGTTTGCTTCAGTTGTACCTGTTATGATGTACAAGCCAATCGAAGTATAAGATAAATGAATAGAACACCTTAGTGTTAAAGAATTGGGATTGTTTATTAGGAGGATTGCGGGTTCAAAACCCTTCTGTGGACTATGGCGTATTATCAATCACAAACAGTCACACATTAACCTCATTTACACAATGTTTTTTATTATTCTCAAGAAACATCACAACATGCTGCCATGGTTAAAAATAACTTTTGTTTGTTTTGTTGTTGTTTTTTATATACTTTCCACCCAGGCTTGTCTGAAGCCCCAGCACTTGTCTGCCTTTGTCCACGTCAGCTCAGACCCACGGGCCCAGCACTACAGCAAAGTGATACGGAGACGGGCTGCAGAATGTACCAACAGAACCAGGGTCCGAAACCAGCGCTACGCTGCCCTCAGGGCACTACAGAAGGGTATGCTGCAGAAATATATTTGTGAAACCACGTACTGGGGCAGTGGTGGATTGGTGGTTGAGGAAGTGGACTTGGGTCTGGAAGGTTTCAGGTTTGAGTCCAACAGCCACTGCGGTGCCTCGCCCCCGTTCACTTTGGTGATGGGTAAAATGCAGAGGTCACATTTGATTGTGTGCTGTGTCACAATGACAAGTAGTTCACGTTCCTTTCCTTTTCCTGTTCTGTAGATCAACGTGAGCTAATACTGATGCCTTCTGTTCTGTTCTCTTCATAGAGGGCGAGTATTTCAGTGAGGAACAGATGCGAATGAGAGCTCCTCTGCTTTATGAACAGTACATTGGACGATACCTGACAGATGAAGAGGTGAGATTGACGGTTTTTTATAAGTACTTTATTGTATATTCTATGGTGATATATACATACACATATATATACACATATATATATATTTGTGTGTCTACATATGTGTATATATATATACATATATGTATATACATATGTTTATGTATATATGTATGTATATACATATATGTTTATGTATATATGTATGTATATACATATATGTTTATGTATATATGTATGTATATACATATATGTTTATGTATATATGTATGTATATACATATATGTTTATGTATATATACATATATATTTATATATTATTTTTTTTGCTTTAGGTTTTGGAGCGTTCCCAGGAAGCCATGTTGGATGGCAGCAAAGGGGATTCAGGAACATCAGCAGGAGGTGCAGGGGGGCTGGCTCACCTCCTATTGAACTCCTATCAGGAGGGTCTCATCCAGAATCGTCTGCAGGAGGAGCAGGAGGAAGAGGAGTGTGCACAGGAAGAGGAAGAAGATGACGAGGAAGATGACGGTGTGTACAGATTAAACACACAACACAGGTTTATGTCATGGATATTTTAGATTTTAAATTTTTTTTTTTCACCTTATGTCTCTTCGTTCCTCTTTAAGATAATGGAGTCCACAAGACAGACTGGGAGCCCACGCCTGAGGAGAAGGCTTTGCTCAGGGAAGAGTTCATAAGTCAGATGCATCAGCACTTCCTGGATGGCAAAGACAAGGATTTCAACTACAGGTCAGTTTCCTCAGAATCGTCCATTTTAAGGAAAATAAAAACATAGTAACGTCACATATTAAATTTTATGAAATATGTATGATTTAAAAGAAACAACTCTGTATTCTATTGTGTTTGTGTTTACAGTGAGGTGGACGAGAACCCGGACTATGACAACTTGGACATTGTCAGCAGAGATGCTGAGGATAAATACTTTGATGAAGATGAAGAGGAGGAGGAAGAGGAAGAAGAGGAGGACACAGAAGAAGATATAACAGATTTGCCAATGTAATTAAATAAAATGCAAATGGCAGATCAAATGTAAAGCCCACTGAGTAGTCATGCTTTTGTCGCTTCGGTGTTGTGCAGGTTAGCTCCCGTGCAGACCTGAAAAGGGAACAAAACGGAAGTCGTTTCACCAGTTTTCGTTAACACCTACCTTCGTTTCAGGGACGTGCTACTCATCACCGTTTCCTGTCAAAGTAAACGCCATGTTTGTTATTTTCTGAGAAGCAAAAGTCAGCACGAATATTGATTCTGTACTTTGCACCACCCTCTAGTGGACATATCAGAAACAGATGTGCCCCATGAACAGAGAGCACAGACAATGTTAAAAGACATGTCCTGGTACAAAGTGTCAGAATTAAGGATTCCCTTTGACAAACAAGTTTCTTTTTTTACAGAAATTAATCGAAAGTAAGTTTCCAGTCCTTCCAGTTTTTGTTTCTAAGCGACATCACTTACTCTTACAGTCAGGCTCAGCTATGCACACACCCGTTTGCGTGCTATCTGCTTGCCAAAAACACAATAATTATTAGCTTTCACCAAAGGGAACCAGACAGAGATACAATTTATGAAAAAAAAAACCCTATCTGGCGGCAGAGGGGAGATATTAACATTTTATGTCTTTGTTCTGGCAAACCGCCATGGCCAACCACTTTATGATTTTGTACTAGCTGTCCTTGTATTCATGTTCAAGAAGAGAACACCTGGAGCAAACGGGGATTTCACTGAGAATCTGTCACAGGCATAAAGTAGGACATAATTTATCTGTAGCTCAACACATTTTTTAAATTAAAAATGCCCGGCAGTTTAAAGTTGTCAAGTGATTAAATGTTATTTTGACACAGGTTTTTAAGACGTGCATTACAAGTACATGATGTCTAAAAACCTGTGGTAAGTAACATTTCCTGACCAGAGGACAGTTGCATCATGGGAAGCCTGTGTAACCAGTTTTTAAAAGATGGTTGTGGACATTTTTAAGAGCATCCACCAGGGGCAGAATTCAAAGCCATAATCGTTCTAATAACAGTTCTGCATCTGCATCTAATAACAGTTCTGCATCTGTCCTGATTCAGGAAATGTTTTTCTGGAATGTTAAAAAAGGGAAAATACAACATTCGACTTGTTCTGATTTTTTCCTCTTCTCTCCATTAGTACCTTGTAGGTCAACAGCAGTTGGTGGTCGTTGTTGATCCGGACCTGAACGATCTGGTATGGAAATTGTTTTTGTGATTCGCATAATTGATTTGGCCAAAGGTTTTACACTGGATGCCCTTTCTGAGGCAACCCCTCACCATTTATCCGGGCTTGGGGCTGACACTATAAAACACAGGCTTGTGCATCCTAGTCGCTGGTTTTTACACACTTTATCTTGTGAAAATATTGGGGTGGGGGGAGAGGGGGATTGTCTTAATGTTCACCAGGCTGTTCTGTGGGGTGGGGGGAATTGTCTTAATGTTCACCAGGCTGTTCTTATCTAATGGCTTTTAAATAATCCACACTTGACTTCTGGTTTGCAGCCTTGCAGATGACATCACTTCCTGTCAGCCAGCCGTTGCAGAAGAGCAATGACTGTGTCCTGTTTGGAGGAGAGCAGCTCCAGAGCTGTCGCTATCCTTCCCAGGGATTCTGCCATCCGCACCTCCCTCCGCTCACGCCTCCTCTCCCTGGCTTCAATCCTACGACGAGCCACTTGGTCCAGAAAGGTCTGCTCCTCCTGACGCTTCATGATCTCCTGGTGCAGAGACATGTTGCTCAGGTCTTCGTTTCCCATTTGCTTTTGAGCTTCTGAGCTGCCTGAAGCGGCCGATGACGGTAACGTGGTGGCAGCAGCGGAAGACGTGAGACAGGAGGACATGGGGGCGAAAGAGGAGGAGAGACCGAGGAGTTTCTGACTGCTGCTGACTGGAGCTGCACTCAGGCGAAAAGGTATGACCCCTGCTGAGAAGGAGGAGGCTTTGCGGCCTGCGTAGCGTGACGTTTTGATGTCTGTGTTTGCAGGTGATCCGAGGGAAGAAGACGACGAAGAAGTGGCTGCTTCTGTAAAAGAAGGCGAAGAGATGAAGGACGGGGACGGCACGATGGTGGCGGGATGAATACTGGTTGTCACGATGTCCCCATTGAGGACGATGAGGGGCTTGACATCTGGAGTGTTCGTAGGACTGATGGTCACCGTGGCTACAGGAGCCATCGCCGGACTGCTGCCCATAATTTGACTGCTCGTGGCGACAGAGTCCAAAGACGTAGGTAAGACAAAGTCACTGTTGGGGCAGATGATGGTCGTAGGCTGTGGAAGCTGTGGTTTTGAGACGATTTTTGTCAAAGGACAGGAGGTTGTGGAGGCAGAACTGCCGCCCTTGGTTCTTTTGTTGTTGAGGACCTGGGAGCCGACAGTGTCACAGAGGGTGGCGTCCATCAACTGGTGACAGAACAGAGAGACACACAGAAATATCAGGTCATTACAGTTGTCTCCATCACTGGGTCTGGGTCATGAACTCACAGCTCAACGCTCTTCACACCAGAGTTTCACAACCTGTTCTGAGCTACGGTACATGCTCTTCACAACCTGTTCTGAGCTACGGTACATATTTTTACTTCAGGAAAAAAAAATCCCATGATGCACCAGCACACACAAATTTCACTCTAAGTGTGTGAAATAAAACGAAATGACTGAATGAAGTCGTCCTGAGGATAAATGTAATGCAATGAAAATGTAAAAATGTCTTAATTTTTACAGACTTCTTTACAGCAACATCTACAACGTAGTACTGAAAGTATTTTGAATAGGACTGGGTATCGCCAAGTACCTTGCATTTACCTTGGATACTATCGCAATTTGCTGCCAACGATAATATTACAATACAGCAATTGTACTATAATCATGACCAGACACAGCAACTGAATTACTAATATAATATGATAATATGATCCCCAGTGTGGAATTCAAAGTATATATTATTTTCAATGATATATTTAATATATGGTTTGGAGAAGACTTACGTCGAAGAATTCCCAGGACGTTTTTGCATGTCCCGTCTCCCGGCTGCGGTCCTTCACCCTCTTGTACGTGACAATGAGGTTGTTCCATTTGCGACGGATTTTTTCCACAGGAAGCATGTGTCCCTTGGAGGCCATCTCTTCCTGGACGCTCTGGAAGAGCTGTGAGCGTTCCCTGGTCTCGTACAGGCCCCAGCGTCGTCCGACGGCCTCGATCAAACACAGAACAGCTTTGGAGGAGAAATCTGAGCTGGAGGGAAGTGTCTTTTCTGGAGGAGCCGGTGGCATCGCCGAAGCTAAGAAATGAAAACAAAGAATGAAAAAGTAAGAAAAACAAAATCACGTACAAGTATTGAAATGTAACCCTAAACTGTTTTTTGTTTGTTTGTTTTGATAATTCTGAAACACAATAACACAAATGGGCGTTTCTAGCACCCCCTGCAGGGAAGTGAGGAGCAGACGTAGTTTATTTTTTTCCTATAAATTTAGATTTAAAGCAAACTAAAACATGAACATTTGAAGTGATTCTAAAAAAGTGTCTATAAACTTTAATTTTTGTTTGTTTTTTTAACAAATACATTCTTGATACATTTCAGGCTTTTAGGCAAAATGCACATATTTTATTCATAAAAAATCCGTATGTAATTGCAGTTATAACGCTACGGATATCTTCGGTTCTTGTGGCAGTGGAGTGGTCGTAGTTGGCGCAGAACCTTGCAGTTACCTGGAGCTATCTTCAGGTACGTTTTTGCATCTCCCGAGGAACCGAAGAACCTGTCAGTGTTCACAGGATCTAAGAACGGAGCACATCGAAAGCTGTGTTACAATAACAACATCAGTGCGGACACGGACTCCCCTACATCATGTGAACCCACGTTGCATTGTCACTCACACAGCAGCACAGGAGTGGCTGTCGCAGCTGCCTGCAGCTCCTCTGCAGTCTGATGCTCTCCTCCTCCTCCCCCTCCTCCCGGTTCTCCCTTGCATGCAGGCGGTTCCTGGCTGCACAAACCCGAGGATGCAGGAGTGCTTTCGTCCACAGCTTCACTCTTCACGTGCATCGTGGCGTGGCCTCCTTGCTGATTACCCTCCATGGCTGAAACTGAGACAAAATGACAATAAGCGGAACGATGGCGGGAGAGGGAGACGTGCGTCTGTCTGCGCAGGCGTTGATTTTTTTGGGGGAAAAAAAAAAGTTTGGACCGGTCTGTCAGTCCAAATGCGGTCTTTGGCTCAACTTCAGCCAGTTTCGTGCGTGACGGACACTCAACGTCAACGTATTCTCGTCGCTTTTTATTCACGACCAGAATGGCTGCGCGGTTCCAAGTAGAGCGAATGGATGCGCAGAGCGGCTGCGCAGCTCCCTGCACACATTTGCTGCTGCTCCTGGCATTCTGGTCAGTGACGTCAGCTCGCCGCTCTTACACTGTGCGTCTTTATATACATGTGTATATGGCAAAGGCTTGGAACTACACCACCAATGTGTGTGTATTTTTAACGGAAATAATAATTCATTACCCCCCATCACTCCCCTCCACCCCCCCCGCACGCCCTCTATCACAGCTCTATTATAATGTGTTCAATGGCCTAAATGTACACTTTTTTTTCCAGCTAGAGCTTGAGACATTTTTATCAGTGCAAAATACATCCTATACAATATTATAATTTTTTTTTAACCCAGTAACATGTACGTATCTCGCCTTTTACCGCCACAAAACAAACAAAACTCTATAGTACCCAAGACATGAGCTAAATCTGAAAAGTATTTATCTTAATTCTTCCACATTTGACATAAAAGAAGCAGATCAGGTACAACGAGGTATGACCTGATGTCAAATTAAACTGTCATTGTAAACAAGTCTCTGTAAAACCAACAACTCCTGTGGATTATACGGCCACCTGTGACCAAAACATGAAAATAATAATAATAAACACTCCACCGCTAAACAAACAGATTTTACATCACAATCCAGCATGCGGCAGACCAACAGCCTTTCTCAGCACTGAGTTTCTGTAGCAGTAAAGCAACCAAATGTTAAAACCTAGAGTACAACACGACTCAATTACCATGAATGTATATTCTACATCGTACAACTCCATGTGCAGGTGGAACCTTGACCCGAATCTCTCTTGAGATTTTCTGCACTCGGTTAATCGATATGAATATCGTGCATATGTGCATATTGCACAGCATGGTAAACACTAGTAACATCATTTAAGTAAAGTCGAATAAAAACGTGGGACGAAATCTTTAATTTGCGTGACGCGGGCAAAGGTTAAAATTGCTGTGCAATACAACGTAACGCGGGACAGGTGGTCTCTAGGTGGCACTAATGCAACTCCAAGGATGTGAACCCAGAATGGAAATAAATAATGGAAGCAATTAAAAATGCATGTTTAGCAAACTGTATAAAAGAGAACTTTTTTATTTAGTGAAATTACAACACCCATCATCATGATTGGAACGACGTAGACACACAAACTTAAAGATACTTGGGAAAAAAACATTAGAATGACTAACTGTACTGACTGTAACGTCTGATAAAAAGTAAACCAAGACCAATATTAGAAATCCAAACAAAAAATCTTGAGATTTATAAACTTCCTCCACCAAACACATTTAAAATTATAATCCCAAAACACAACAAGAATCAAGTTAAATAGCGTTAAAAACCCAATATATTTTCCTCAACATCAACACATTAAAAACAATTTTCAAAGTGGCATGAATCTGAGTACAAGAGTACTCAGTGTGTACTCTTGTACACATTACCTGATGTGTGTTATTGTCACTTTCCTCTAAATACTAAAAACAACCAGTAAGAAAACCAACAAAGATTCTGTCTCTGAACATTCTACAACCGTTCACTTTGGCTTTAATTCTGTTCAAAACAGTCAACGCTCTCGTCATTAATGCGAAACACAGCCTTAAATTTTATGTTGACCAAGTCCTTTAGTTGTTTGAGCCAAGCAATGAATTCAGGATTATCCTGCAAAAGAACAGAGAAGACCTCGTCAATGACTTGAAATAGTCAGAGGTCGGGATGCTGACCTGTTAAAGACGGGTTCTTACTTGATTCTCGGAGGCAGAGTTAGTGAAAGTGAGTCTGATGTCATCTAAAATATCTCCAACCCATTGGTATTTTTTCTTCTCTAGTTTGTCTGCTACAATGTCTAAACTCTCCCGGATGTGGTTGTCTCTGTCCAGCTGTGGCTGTGAAGTGAAAAGAAGTGAAATGTTTCACACTTTGTGACACCATTGTCATCAGTTTGACAGGCTGTGTTTGACAAAAATAAGAAGAACCAGAGACTTACATCAGGGCTGGGGTTTAAAGCAGGTGCTCGCATTTCCTCAGCGGTGAGCAGACACAGGAGGAAACACTGACATTCCTGGTGTTGAAGAAGAGGAGCAGATTAGAGAGTGGGCAGAGTGAGTGACACTGACAGAGGTGTGGTGCAGTTTCCTCACCAACATGTGATATGAAACAGAGAGTGACATGGCTGCGTCCATTCCCCGCTCAGGATGCTGTAGCCAATCCTGATTGGCTATACAGAAAGTACACATCCACTTGCGTCTTTCCCTGTGGGGAGTGGGGTGGGGTGGGGGGGTTGATTATTACTATATTGAACGTTATCATTTCTAGCATCCAGACCCGCAGCACAATTATACGTTCAACAACGCTGTGCACACGTACAAAATGTCAGCATGTATTACAATAACCGCAGTATTTATGGCTTTCTGAAAATTCTGCTCACTTCACAGTGGCATCCTCCACGTGTGGCAGGTGACATTGTTGGTGAAAAGAGCGTGGGCAGTTATCGCACATCACCATCAGATCTCCATCTTTTCTACACACACAACACTCATCATCATTTTTCTGATTTTCCTGCAGAGACAAAAAAAAACAACAAAAAAACACGACGTCTGGGTTCAGTTCATGCAACTAAAATGAAAACATTTAAAGGAATAAAAATCTTTGTTTCTCACTGGGTTTCAAACCCCTTTTAAGCAGGTTGAAAAAGAAATTCTGATCAGTCTTCAGTCAGATAGTTTAAGAAACTTACCAGATCTTTTTGATCTGAGCTGCACAACCTGCACTGGCAGAGCAGTGGGTGGATCTTCAGGATGCCTTTCTGAAAAAGGATTGTAATTAAATACCGGAGCAAAATCAAGTAAATTGTAAGGAAAATTACAAAAATGGCTCTACAATTAAATCCTAGAATCTAGAAATATGAATTGCTAAGTACATTTACACGTGTAGTTGGAATTTGAACTGGTGAAAATCTGAAAATATTTGTTTTGGCACCCTCTGTTGGTAAAACTCAAACACACGTGTACCTGATGTTCAGACAAATCACTTGTAAATACATAAGAAAAGATTACTGACAGTTTCGTGCTCTATTACATCTATATTTTAAACGGGCCTTCCCAGTGCTGTCAGCTTTGAGCTTGGGAGTCCTAGAACAAGGCACAGGTTCCTCAGGATGAGGTTCTGGTTCCTGGAACCTAGAAACCTCCTTGTTTTTCTGGGATAATTTTTTTTGACTATTCTGTTTTCTTTACAGTGAAAACTGCTGTTTAAAAATACAGCGTAAAAAAATGAACTAGAGAGCAAATATTAGTGAGTGTTACCTCGATGAGTGCATGTAATGGTTCTCCCTCACACTTGATGTCTTTCTTCCAGGAGATGTCTGTCTGACATGTCGCCTCCTTCGTGAACTCCAGGGGGCTCAACCAGGTCTTCTCCGTACGAATACACTTATCACACGAGCCTGAAGGTAAGAAAAGGTGAGGATTGTTTGAGAGGTATGATCAGTTAAAGTCATGTCAATTACTGAACACATCACTCCAGTAAACGGTCTGTTTACACACCTTTTGTTTTCGTTGCCTTTAAAATTCACAGACCTCAGTAATAGACGTAGTTAACGAATGATATTTTTCCACCTGTCACTCTATGGTATGAGTTAAAAGTAAATGTTACCTGAGGCAAATCTCTGTTGGTGTAATGTTCCAGTTAAACCTTCACATGTGACTGTGAACACTTGGCACCCTTCTGCACTCTGCTCTACCTGCTTGTCACTCTCTCCACCTTTAGCTGCAACACAATGATGACATGGAACTGGGATGAAACCTGCTGCAGAAAAAGGCCACGCTTAAAAAAAAAAAAAAACTACATGTGGTCATGAACAAAGAGAATTTCCTGACCAACTACCTTTAAGCTTCCTTAAACATCTTTTCTGCAACTTAAAAAAATGTATCTCACGCCCATCAAAAATGTATTCTCATTAATAAGGAGCTGCACCTGAGACACCTGCAGAACTTGTTTGGTTGCCACAGGAATTATTGCCCTGGGTTTCCACGTCATCATCATCATCATCCTGCCCCTCCTCTTCATCCTTCTCTTCTGTCTCAGACACTAAAATGAGATGGTAATTCCATATTAGTTAGCCTTAGCTTAATTACCCATTAAGTCCACTGGTCTGCATCAGCAAATAAAGGTACCAGGCAAAAAATGTTTGCTGACATCAGTCAAAAACACCACAGTCTTACAATCACACAACTGACCTGTCAGTGTAGAACCAGGGAGCAAGGATTTCCTGACCTGTAGAGAAGAAAGGAGAGGAGACCAAAAAAAATAAGCATTACTGAGTCAGTAACTCAATTCAAATCAATCATTTCCAATGTGTTTCTTTTTTTTACCGCCATTGATTGTGTTCGCTTTCTTCTTCTGTAATTTGGTGATTTTAGGTGACCCTCCTGATATTAAAAAAAGAGTTTCCAGGATAGTAATGAAAAAACAAACAACCCAACGACATCAGTCTTTCTACACTGTTTATCTGCATGGTTCTAAAGATAGTCAAAACAGACACCTGGAAAAGCTTCGCCAGTGGAGTCCCACGGTACAGAATGCTGGTCTTCCAGTTCTTCGACCTCTCCTTTCCGGCAAACTTCTCAAATTCACTGGGAGTAAACCACTTTCTGTCAACTTTGATACACTTTTCCCCTGGATGGAGAGATGAGAGAGTTTATGTTCACCTCAACAACAACAAAAATGTCACCTTATTTTGGCTATAAAAGGTGGATATAACACTATTTGTTGTGTTGTAACTTTGAACGTGTCCCTCTGACCTTTTGCCAGTCTTTCTTTACTCAGTATCCCACTCTGGGATCCACAGGTCACGGGAAGCTGGGACTTGAAGAGGGCCCCCGACGAAATGTCCTTCTTTTCTCCTTTCTTCAGAGGTGAACCTAGTAATGACAGAATTAACAGATTATTATCTTGTAACAAGAGAGTCAAACTCCAGGTGGGAGGTGACTTACTGAAGGAGACTCTGTTGGACCTCCGCTTCTGACCTGGAGTGGACTGAGATGACGGACCAGGCTGCTGCTCATTCTTATCACACGTGCTGCCATTTTCTTGTTGCTTCTTCTTCTTTTTTGGTGAGATAACTTCCTCCTCATCTTCCTCCTCATCATCAGAAGACACATTCCTTTTCCTGTCACTCGTCTCTTTCTTTCCCACAGGTGGGGGAATCTGTGTGTCAGAACCATAAGACCCTGCAAAAACAAGAGTTCAAAAATGATATTGTGTACAAATTGACATTTTTAAATAAAACTCACACTAACAGCAGGCGAAGACAATGAGCACAATGACACATTTTAGTGACTCTCACCATCCATGAGGCTCTGGTGCAACATTTTCAGTGACGGGTACCTGTTCATCATTACGTCTTTAAAAAGACATTTCCAGAAGAGGTGGATGTGCTCAGACTGCTCCCTCTCAAACCAATCCAAAAGGTCGTAGAGGGAGTTTATGATCTTGTCTTTGCTTCTCATGTTAGTCAGTTTCTGCAAAAACACATGTACACACATATATGTATGTACATATATATAATATATATATTATATATATGTACATATGTATTAATGTGTGTATATATATACATATATTTATTTGTGTATAAATAATAATACATATATACTATAGACATAGATACAAATTTCCTAGAATGTCTTCATAAATGTACTTGGGTCTTGTCAGTTGCTGTAAAAAGTTGATTTTATCCAGAATAAAATTAACTTCTCACCCCCCCCCCCCCCCCCCAACCCTCCGGAGGGGGGGTGTGGGTGTGGTTTTCGCTCAGTGTGACACCTATACAAACAAGTCACTTGTAAAGTCATAAACCCCTCTAAATTTCCCGCTCAGTGGCTGAAAAACGGCGCCTTTCGGAAACAGGATGTGACGTTTGAGCGCTTGTATATACGTATCTATATGCTGGTTCTTATAATGAACGGCTCACCTTATATCTGTCCTCGGGAATCAGGTTGTGGTCCTTGAGCTGACAGAGGAGAGTGTGCGGCTTCTCGATGCAGGACAGCTCCGTTTTGTGATAGTGGAGAAACTGCAGCAACTCAGTAGGTTCCATGACATTCAAGAGGTCCATCACTGACCAGGTTCCGGGGCAACACTTAGCTGTAAACGTTGAAGGTACACGATTACTCGTGGTACAGGAAGTATTCGTAGTCTTAGATGTGCACCCAAGCAGTCTCCGATCCGCTTTCTAAAATCGCTTCCGGTAATCCGGACATATCTACCTGTCATAGCCCTACCTTAATGACGTTTTGAAAGTGAAACTTATGTTTGTGTCGTTCCTCGCAATTCCGGATATTTCCAGCAGGGATCACGATTGGACAGTATGAGTGCAAACTGAACAAAGTTCGTCCTTCCTCTCTGCAAAGTTGAACAATATCACCATGTACACATTTACGGATTTATGTGGTTTTGTTAACACTCTGGTAGTTTTATTTTCTAAAGTAATGTTGACAAAATCCGTTTTAGATAGTGTATGTTGTTTGTGAAGCTTTGTGAGATATTAGCGGACAGATGCTAATTAAGTCAGCCGTTACAACGGAACTTTAATAAAAAGAAAACAGTCCTAATAGATATTGATTATCAATCGCATGTATGTGTACGGGTAACATTAACAACCGAAGTGATTAAGTATAAGAAAGTTTATTTAAATTCCAGTCGCCTTTGTTTTAAATACTAAAACATTGAAGACCAAAACTGCCATGTATGAAAAACTGAACACACATCCTTTAATACCTATCCACACATTACATAGTTGAATAAAAGAAACCAGATAATGATTTTATTAAAAAAAAGAAATAAAGAAAGAAAAAGAAATAGATCTCAAGGACCAACAGGACCAGGATTTTCATTGATTGGAAAAAAACAAAACAAAACAAAAAATAGATTGTTCAAAAGTACCTGCTGGTCCAGTAACACATACTTAGTACGAGAGTACTCAGTGTGTACTCTTGTACACATTCCCTGATATGTGTTATTGTCACTTTCCTCTAAATACGATCAACAACCAGTAAGAAAACCAACAAAGAATTTTGGGTCATCTTTCATGGCTTCACCGTTTTCTTCAACAAGATTCTGTCTCTGAACATTCTACAACAGTTCACTTTGGCTTTAATTCTGTTCAAAACAGTCAACGCTCTCGTCATTAATGTAAAAAACAGCCTTAAATTTTATGTTGACCAAGTCCTTTAGTTGTTTGAGCCAAGCAAGGAATTCAGGATTATCCTGCAAAAGAACAGAGAAGACCTCGTCAATGACTTGAAATAGTCAGAGGTTGGGATGCTGACCTGTTAAAGACGGGTTCTTACTTGATTCTCGGAGGCAGAGTTAGTGAAAGTGAGTCTGATGTCATCTAAAAAATCTCCAACCCTTTGGTATTTTTTCTTCTCTAGTTTGTCTGCTACAATGTCTAAACTCTTCCGGATGTGGTTGTCTCTGTCCAGATGTGGCTGTGAAGTGAAAAGAAGTGAAATGTTTCACACTTTGTGACACCATTGTCATCAGTTTGACAGGCTGTGTTGGACAAAAATAAGAAGAACCAGAGACTTACATCAGGGCTGGGGTTTAAAGCAGGTGCTCGCATTTCCTCAGCGGTGAGCAGACACAGGAGGAAACACTGACATTCCTGGTGTTGAAGAAGAGGAGCAGATTAGAGAGTGGGCAGAGTGAGTGACACTGACAGAGGTGTGGTGCAGTTTCCTCACCAACATGTGATATGAAACAGAGAGTGACATGGCTGCGTCCATTCCCCGCTCAGGATGCTGTAGCCAATCCTGATTGGCTATACAGAAAGTACACATCCACTTGCGTCTTTCCCTGTGGGGAGTGGGGTGGGGTGGGGGGGTTGATTATTACTATATTGAACGTTATCATTTCTAGCATCCAGACCCGCAGCACAATTATACGTTCAACAACGCTGTGCACACGTACAAAATGTCAGCATGTATTACAATAACCGCAGTATTTATGGCTTTCTGAAAATTCTGCTCACTTCACAGTGGCATCCTCCACGTGTGGCAGGTGACATTGTTGGTGAAAAGAGCGTGGGCAGTTATCGCACATCACCATCAGAGTTATCGCACATCACCAGCTTTCCACTTTCTCTACACACACAACACTCGTCATCATTTTTCTGATTGTCCTGCAGAGACAAAAAAAAAAAAAACACAACGTCTGGGTTCAGTTCTTGCAACTAAAATGAAACATTTAAAGGAATAAAAATCTTTGTTTTTCAACTGGGTTTCAAACCCCTTTTAAGCTGTACAAAACTCAGTGAAAGTTGAAAAAGAAATTCTGATCAGTCTTCACTCAGATAGTTTAAGAAACTTACCAGATCTTTTTGATCTAAGCTGCACAACCTGCACGGGCAGAGACGTGAGTGGATCTTCAGGATGCCTTTCTGAAAAGGACAATACTGACTTTTTTTCATCCTTCTTTCAGGGACAAGAATTGTAATTAAATACTGGAGCAAAATCAAGTAAAATTTAAGAAAATTTTCAAAAGTGGCTGTACAATTAAATCCTAGAATCAGTATGAATTGCTTAGTACATTTACACATGTGTAGTTGGAATTTGAACTGGTGAAAGTTTTTAAATATTTGTTTTGGCACCCTCTGTTGGTAAAACCCAAACACACGTGTACCTGATGTTCAGACAAATCACTTGTAAATGCATAAGAAAAGATTACTGACAGTTTAGTGCTCTATTACATCTATATTTTAAACGGGCCTTCCCAGTGCTGTCAGCTTTGAGCTTGGGAGTCCTAGAACAAGGCACAGGTTCCTCAGGATGAGGTTCTGGTTCCTGGAACCCAGAAACCTCCTTGTTTTTCTGGGACAATTTTTTTTGACTATTCTGTTTTCTTTACAGTGAAAACTGCTGTTTAAAAATACAGTGTAAAAAAATTAACTAGAGAGCAAATATTAGTGAGTGTTACCTCGATGAGTGCATGTAATGGTTCTCCCTCACACTTGATGTCTTTCCTCCAGGAGATGTCTGTCTGACACGTCGCCTCCTTCGTGAACTCCATGGGGCTCAACCAGGTCTTCTCCGTACGAATACACTTACCACACGAGCCTGAAGGTAAGAAAAGGTGAGGATTGTTTGAGAGGTATGATCAGTTAAAGTCATGTCAATTACTGAACAGATCACTCCAGTAAACGGTCTGTTTACACACCTTTTGTTTTCGTTGCCTTTAAAATTCACAGACCTCAGTAAAAGACGTAGTTAACGAATGATATTCTTCCACCTGTCACTCTATGGTATGAGTTAGAAGTAAATGTTACCTGAGGCAAATCTCCGTTGGTGTAATGTTCCAGTTAAACCTTCACATGTGACTGTGAACACTTGGCACCCTTCTGCACTCTGCTCTACCTGCTTGTCACTCTCTCCACCTTTAGCTGCAACACAATGATGACATGGAACTGTGATGAAACCTGCTGCAGAAAAAGGCCACGCTGAAACCTTGAACATCTTTTCTGCAACTTAAAAAATGTATCTCACGCCCATCAAAAATGTATTCTCATTAATAAGGAGCTGCACCTGAGACACCTGCAGAACTTGTTTGGTTGCCACAGGAATTATTGCCTCTGTGGGTTTCCACGTCATCATCATCATCCTGCCCCTCCTCTTCATCCTCCTCCTCCTCTTCTTCATGCTCCTCCTCCTCTTCATCCTCCTCTTCTGTCTCAGACACTAAAATGAGACGATAATTCCATATCAATTAGCCTTACCCATTAAGTCCACTGGTCTGCATCAGCAAATAAAGGTACCAGGCAAAAAATGTTTGCTGACATCAGTCAAAAACACCACAGTCTTACAATCACACAACTGACCTGTCAGTGTAGAACCAGGGAACAAGGATTTCCTGACCTGTAGAGAAGAAAGGAGAGGAGACCAAAAAAAATAAGCATTACTGAGTCAGTAACTCAATTCAAATCAATCATTTCCAATGTGTTTCTTTTTTTTACCGCCATTGATTGTGTTCGCTTTCTTCTTCTGTAATTTGGTGATTTTAGGTGACCCTCCTGATATTAAAAAAAGAGTTTCCAGGATAGTAATGAAAAAACAAACAACCCAACGACATCAGTCTTTCTACACTGTTTATCTGCATGGTTCTAAAGATAGTCAAAACAGACACCTGGAAAAGCTTCGCCAGTGGAGTCCCACGGTACAGAATGCTGGTCTTCCAGTTCTTCGACCTCTCCTTTCCGGCAAACTTCTCAAATTCACTGGGAGTAAACCACTTTCTGTCAACTGTGATACACTTTTCCCCTGGATGGAGAGATGAGAGAGTTTATGTTCACCTCAACAACAACAAAAATGTCACCTTATTTTGGCTATAAAAGGTGGATATAACACTATTTGTTGTGTTGTAACTTTGAACGTGTCCCTCTGACCTTTTGCCAGTCTTTCTCTACTCAGTATCCCACTCTGGGATCCACAGGTCACGTGAAGCTGGGACTTGAAGAGGGCCCACGACGAAATGTCCTTCTTTTCTCCTTTCTTCAGAGGTGAACCTAGTAATGACAGAATTAACAGATTATTATCTTGTAACAAGAGAGTCAAACTCCAGGTGGGAGGTGACTTACTGAAGGAGACTCTGTTGGACCTCCGCTTCTGACCTGGAGTGGACTGAGATGACGGACCAGGCTGCTGCTCATTCTTATCACACGTGCTGCCATTTTCTTGTTGCTTCTTCTTCTTTTTTGGTGAGATAACTTCCTCCTCATCTTCCTCCTCATCATCAGAAGACACATTCCTTTTCCTGTCACTCGTCTCTTTCTTTCCCACAGGTGGGGGAATCTGTGTGTCAGAACCATAAGACCCTGCAAAAACAAGAGTTCAAAAACGATATTGTGACATTTTTAAATAACACTAACAGCAGGCGAAGACAATGAGCACAATGACACATTTTAGTGACTCTCACCATCCATGAGGCTGCGGTGCAACATTTTCAGTGACGGGTACGTGTTCATGACTACGTCTTTAAAAAGACATTTCCAGAAGAGGTGGATGTGCTCAGACTGCTCCCTCTCAAACCAATCCAAAAGCTCGTAGAGGGACTTTTTGATGTAGTCTTTGCTTCTCATGTTAGTCAGTTTCTGCAAAAACACATGTACACACATATATGTATGTACATATATATAATATATATATTATATATATGTACATATGTATTAATGTGTGTATATATATACATATATTTATTTGTGTATAAATAATAATACATATATACTATAGACATAGATACAAATTTCCTAGAATGTCTTCATAAATGTACTTGGGTCTTGTCAGTTGATTTTATTCTCATAAACATGACTCTAATCCCGGAGGGGGGTGTGGTTTTCGCTCAGTGTGACACCTATACAAACAAGTCACTTGTACAGTCATAAACCCCTCCTCCAAATTTCCCGCTCAGTGGCTGAAAAACGGCGCCTTCGCAAACAGGATGTGACGTTTGAGCGGTTGTATATACGTATCTATATGCTGGTTCTTATAATGTACAGCTCACCTTATGTTTGTCCTCGGGAATCAGGTTGTGGTCCTTGAGCTGACTGAGGAGAGTGTGCGGCTTCTCGATGCAGGACAGCTCCGTTTTGTGATAGTGGAGAAACTGCAGCAACTCAGTAGATTCCAGGAAATTCAGGGGGTCCATCACTGACCAGGTTCCGGGGCAACACTTAGCTGTAAACGTTGAAGGTACACGATTACTCGTGGTACAGGAAGTATTCGTAGTCTTAGATGTGCACCCAAACAGTCTCCGATACCACTTCCGGTAATCTAGACATTTCCTCCTCTCATATCCCTAGTTTAGTGACGTTTTGAAAGTGAAACTTATGTTATTGTGTCGTTCCTCGCAATTCCGAACATTTCCAGCAGGGAGCACGATTGGACAGTATGAGTGAAACACAGGGACACAGTACAGAAACAGTCGCCGTTACATGTTGAGTCAGCGTCGTTGTGCAAACTGAACAAAGTTCGTCCTTCCTCTCTGTAAAGTTAAACAATATCACCACGTCCATTTACGGATTTATGTGGTAATTGTAACTATTTTATAAAGTAATGTAATGACAAAATCCGTTTAAGATACCGTATATAGTTTGTGAAGCTTTGTGAGCTATCAGCAGACTGAAGCGTTTGTTTAAAGATACAACTCAGTCAATGCTAATAAAGTTAGCTAAAGTTAGTTACAACGGATGTTTTATAGAATATATAACTTACTGTATATATTATTATATAATATTATGATTATCAATCACATTTAAGTGTACGGGTAACATTAACAACCGAAATTATTAATTATAACAATGTTTATTTACATTCCAGGTTTCTTTGTTTTAAATAATAAAACTCTGAAGACTAAAGCTATCATGAATGAAGAACTGAACGCATTTAATACCCTTCATTACGTTATATAGTTGAATAAAAGACACCAGATAATGTTTTTCTTAAAAAAAAAAACTTTATTCTCAGGTTTTAATAGAAGGCTATAAATCAAAATAACCAGTGTACAAGTTATGGTTCTTATTGATCCCTAATCAGGCTGTTGATCATATTCTTTATCATATCCTTCAGTGTCATGGTAAATGACATCATCATGTTGATTCTGACAGGTCTGAACCATCTGCAGCACAGTGGCCAGGCGCCGGTCCAGAGCAGAGAGATGTAGTTCTGACAGAAGAGGGGCCACAGCTGCCAGTGGGTCCTGGGCCAGGGACGTCCGCATCATGTCGCTGAGACGGAACCCAGAGCGGGACAGCAGACGCAGGCGGAGGAGGGTTGAGCGGCGAATCCTACAAAAGACACAAAGTCAAGCAGAAATATTGACGTAGTACACGGAGGTAAACGTTTCCTCAACACAATTCCGTTTCAGCTGCTGATCTTATTAACCTTATTAACCTAAAACAAGCGGATATCAGTGCATCACAGACCCAGTATATGAAGACATTGTCAAATCAGTCCATTGTTTTTTTTGTTTGCTTCTTACCTGCAGCATTGTTGCAGTGGAGCGAGGATGGATGGTTCGTCTCGTGAGTGACGCCCAAACCTGGAAGAAAGAAAAAAATCATCGGTGAGTGACAACAAGACTATAACTGAACACAAAACTCAATGTTGCTTGAGTAGAGTAATCTCTCTGGTGTTTAAACCCAGATGATGTGATACAACGGTCGCTCACCCCCGTCCGTTATCCAGGTGCAGTAGAAACGTCTCATTTCCAAATTTCTCAAAGGTCTCGTAGTGATGTCTGTCCATGTTACCTTGACAGGAACAGCAAAATCATTTAAAATGACACAAAATACGTAAAATATACAGAAACTCCAAAAAGGTGACAATTTAAAGTATTTGGGCAGACCCATGAGGTAGTCCAGTACAGCCATGTCTATGAGATCCACCAGTCTGGTGCCTTGGTTGTAGGGAGGTGTCTGTTTGACTGTGTCACAGTAAACTGGGTCCTTCTCCCACCTGGAAACAAAAGTTTAGTCAGGTTCAGTTTTGAGAAGTTCAAGTTCAGTTCAATCAGACGGTGAGCCCACTGTGCCAGCTTGGTGCGGCTGTAGGCTCGTCTCCACGGGGACCTCCATGATCTACGCGGAGCAAGTTCCAGGTCAGGCAGCATGGCAGCCAGGGAAACCTCTAGCTCATGTGGTCGTCCACACAGGGGATGCTCTGTTGAACAGTAATACTCACACTGGCCGTAGAAACAGACGTTCCCCACTAGAGGGAAGTAGACAGAGACATTTGGTTGGTTGTATATGATAGAAAGTTGTTCACAATGAATACATCTTTAAAACTTTAAAACAAAACCACACACCGGGGGATGTAAAGAAGGTCCGAGAGAGCCGGTGGTCAGTGGTAATCTCACGGATCTCCGTAGTGACATTAATGAGTCGACCGACCACTGGAGGGATCCTGTTAAAACCCAGGATTCTGAAATGGGTAAAAAAAACAAAACATGATAAAACATGGGAACAGATGGCGGTCTTTAGGTTGAGAAAATATCACAAAACATGATAAAACACGGGAACAGATATTAAAATGGCGGTCTTTAGGTTGAGAAAATATCAATTAATGCACGGTTTAATCATTTTACTGCTTATACTATTACTCTGTCAGCAGCTCCTATGTTAGCTTGATGATGTTAGCTTGATGAAGGTCTGTTTGTGGTTTTCAGGCCTTTTCTTTTTTACCTGTCCAGGTGAAAGGCAGCGATTTCTGCATTATGTCTTTCAAAGTCTGAGAAGTAGAAAAGATTCACATCCGTCTCTGCATCTCTGGACTGCCTGCTCAACAACAAACCCACAGAGGGAAGACCAGACTCTGCACTGATGCCAGACACTGTTAGGGTAAGTGTTTACACTGGTTCAACCTGTCATTCGGTCTTACCTCATAGGTTTGAGCAGAGCTTGTCCATAATTTGGGAAGGACATGATCAGTTTGAGCTGAGTGCCTCCTGTCTTCTGAACTGGAAGTCAAAGAATAGATTAAAAGATATGAACATTTATTATTACGAAAAACCTTTTAATAGAAAATAACTGAAAGAGTCCAAAAAACCCCTGTTATTAGTCCGACGATTTTCTGACCAGAAAAACACAGAATCTTCTTCTTCTTTTTCTTTCGGCTTTGTCCCTTTTTTCAGGGGAACTGATTTGGGTTTTTGTTTACTGTTATGCAATACGTGCGTTTCACCACATGGTGGGGAACACGGGTAAACAACCACCTACTTCAAAAAAGCCTCACGTCTTGAAAATAGCATTGTTTACTGTGTGTATTTCTAAATAGTAACTGAAGTAGTTTAAAATTGATAAAGGTTTTTAACATTATAAATAATTGACCATTTCACCAGACTTAAACTAAATGAAGTAAAGTTATTAAACTAATCACTTGTAACATAACTGAAAAATGCAATAATTTCATTCACATACAGTGTGGTGTGTGTTAGAATTGGTTGTATGATTTTTCTTGAAGTATAACTGTAGACCTGTAATATTTTTTTATAAGCTAGATTAGTATTATGGTTGAAGTTTTACTGCAAATTCAGCCTGTGGCCGGGGGATTGATGCCAGTTTCACAATGTGCAACACAAATATCAATATATAATTCATGCTGCAGCATACAGGAAAATAGAGCTGGGAATGCAAGATGAGCAAACACTAATTGAGTGTCGACATGATGTATGTGAACATAGAGTCGGTGCAGATTAAGTTGTGCTTTTAGCGTCCCGTGTGTATTTGAGACACACGTGGTGTTTGAAATAAAATGGTATGGTGTTGTAATATTTAAGATCTGCAGTGGATACTGTGTATCTCTGTGTGTGTTTTCACTCACTGTTTGCTGCAGTGGTCTTGGGCTGTAACACACTCTCATTGCTATCCCGTCCATCCAGTGTGAGCTCACCCATAAAATATTGATTTACAGTCTACATGCTTCTACTTTGATTTTATGTACTTTTGCATTTTTTCAAGAGCCTCTTACTCAGAAACCAAAGGGATTTGTGGGTAATCAGATTATGTGTGAAAATGTGCCGGTTCGGTTCAATTATATCCACGTCTACTGTATTTACATTTTAGAAGTGTTAAGAAGAAACTTCTCAAAGTTCTGGAGTGGCAGGATTTGTAAAAAGATTGCAGTTGAAAACAGAAACCGGAGGGTTGTGATTCTGCGATTCAGCATTTGTTGCTGTTTAATTGTACACTAAATATCGCAGTTTTGTCAAGTGCAACCTTAAAGCCCGAATTCATACATAGCTTAGATGTGATTTGTTCTTGTTCAGCCTCCACTTTTCTCCCCTCCCTCCTCCATTTCATTTGGCCATCGCACAGGCCCTTTGCTTTTTTCCTTTCACTCACCCTCACCTGTCTCACCCATCGTGCCCTCCCCCTTTTATTTGCTCACCAGCACCAAGGATTTGTTGTGTTGCTAGATAGTGAGTCAGCTGCACCAGGGTTGGGTCCTTCCTGTTGTACAGCTCCCAGCGAGTGATGCCCAGGTGAAAGCGTAGCCAGGGAGGGTGAGTCGTTGTGTCACTGGTCCATGTGGCTCTGTCGTAGCCCTCCTCCTGACTGGCACTCTGCCTGAAGAGGAGGCAGAATATGGGTAATAAAGAAATCTGAATCAGCAAAATAACTTCCATATTGGTTTTTTTCAGGTCACCTTAAATATTTCTGTCTTTGGACTAAATTGTAACTTGGTCTTAATCCCTCTATACGGCTGTTTTAATTAAAGTGGACAGATTGTAGTTTTATTTGACAAGATGTGAAAATGATTCTACTCTACTCGACTAAAATACTTTTTTATTGTTCATAAAATGTACTAAACTATTTGATGCATTTATGGCATTCTAATAGGAAACATATTGTATGGAAAATATCATAAAGATCCTATTGTTCATTAACTTATTCAAAGAAAAAAAGTATTCTGGGATTACTGATTCTGGGGTCTAATTCTTTTCCTCCTGCCTGGAAACCTCCCTAGTTCTATATAAAATATTTTGCTCTATCTGCGCAGCACAAGTCCAGACCACCAGGGTCACTGGAGCTAATTTCTCCAACTCTATCCAAAGAACTCGTTGAGTCTTTACTCACCACTGACTGTCATCAAGGGCCTCTTCCTCCGATTCCTCCTCACTTCCTTTATCTGTCACATCTTTACTTTCCTTCAGCTTCAGTAACCAGTCGTCTTCCTGCAGCTCTGGCTGTGGCAGGTTGTACAGAGGGTGATTGAACAGAGCCTCCAGTGCATCGGGACCTCTCACCTCTGGAATCAATTTTTCAACTGCAATTAGTTTCTTTTCCTTCTCAAAGGTCACGTTCCAGGAATCTTTACCTTTGAGGTGTGTTAGGATTGGATCCACGGTGTGGGTTTCATCTTTGACAGAGCTTGTTGGTGGTTTGTGTGAGGTGGAGGCGGGGGAGGAGAAGGGCTGATGGTGCTGGGCATTAATTCCAGTGACAGATGATGAGGAGGATAAAGATGAGGGAAGAACACAGACAGTCTGGAGGACAGAGAGACAGAAAAATGCCAGCACCAGATGGAGGGTGAGGGACAAACAGGCCAGACCCAGGTAGATGTTGCGAGTCGGTAGGCCGAAGCTCCTTTTCACCATGCTGGAAGAACCAAACAATACAAAGACGGTCACTGAAGCCCAGACTGTGGAGCTCCACCAACTCCACTCATATATTTACAACAGAGAAACAAGTGGTCTGATAGAGATCTTCAATGATAACAAAAACAACATGATTGATCTGTGTGTGTTCATACAGAAAAATTTAATTATTTTTTAAAGTAACATGAAATTCTAACCCAAAAAAACCCACTCATGCCTCCATCACTATGTTGTAACTAACAGTGGATGCAGTTTGAGTGCACTAAATTACAATGTTGTGCATCTGTTGTGCAAAATGTCAAACATTAATAACCTATGAATCCCTATAGAAAGAAGAGAAAATCAATACATTATTGAACACGTTCCCAAAGTCCTCGTGTTCTTCCAGTCTCCAAGGACATTGACGGGATTACTTACATCTACTTTCCTTCTTTTTCCAGAGCAGATTTTCTTCTCCCCTTTTTCCCGGTTCCACTCTTCGTCCTGACACACTCAAGTGTTTTAGTGGCATTACTGTCTCTTTCCCCCAATCTAATTTTCCTGCCAGAGAGTTTGCACTTTGTTTGTTTGTTACCATTCAGTCCAATGTCAGGTTGTGGTGACCTGTGTCTGCATAACCCACAGTTGAACGGAAAGAAGTCACGATGGAAATCTGACAAATGGTTTCTGTTTGGATCAATGCAGGGTTTTGACAACAAGACACAGAAAATTACTGTTTTAATAGCAAAAATACACATAATTAAAACATAGCATCTTGGACTTGGTTTTCATATCCAAATAATTGTGTGACATTTAGGAAAATGTTTATATTGAACTGTCTGCTGCTGTAGTAATTGGTATTCAAGGAATATTTTTATCTCTTATTTTTACATAAATTTGCCATTTGCTTTTAAAGAAAGGCTCATGTTATTGGTGTAAGTAATTTAGATTCTGTCGGCATTTAGCTTTGTGCCAATTCGAGTTAGCTTGGTTTAGCATGGAACAAGCTAAGTTTAAACTAAACTTGACTTTGATGCTAACTGTACAAGTGCGGTCAGAACATGACTGTAATCAAACAAAGCTACAGCTTAGAGTGGGCGCTAAAAGGCTAGCCTGTCGTGCTTTTAGCTACATTCACTAAACTAGTTTGTTACTGGGGCTTGATAGTTTTACATTTACAGTTTGACCTGTCAGTTTCCCCAGGTTCATTAAATCTCTGTGCTCACACGCTCATTACTCTTTTTTTTTTCATATTTTGCTCAGTTCTGTTTTTCTGTTATGATTAAAGAGCAAATTGAGTCTTAACCTCTTGAGAACATACTTAATAAAACTGTTCTTTTGGAGTATTTGACTTTAATTACTACACTCACATCTTAAGATGTAAAAAAAAAAAGTTCAGCTACATAAAAAAAAAAAAAACATAAATCAGACTTTTTGCGCAGAAAAAGGAAATACCCAGATTCAGTATTGCTGTGATGTTATAAAAAATGTAAGCAACATAAAAAAATCATATCTTTGAAAGATTTATCTTATCTTTATTTTATCTTTTTTCTTAGCCATCAACTGTTTATTATTATTTGTCTGCGTCTTACTTTTAAATACTCTCTCTGTGACCTTGGTTTCCTGCCCTCTCAGCGTTAGAACATCTCCCTCACTGTTAACTCACCAACTATAAAATATGTTTCCATTAATTAGCTACGTTAGCTCAGAGACTCAATGTATTATTCATGATGTGGCAGCTCCCAGTAGATTTAGCTTCTTTTTTTTTTTTTTAACCCTGGAGCAAAATGCTGCAGCTTATACAGTATAAGATGTGGTATTTTGTTTGTTGCAGTGCTAACCATTCTGTAGTAGTTTGTATGCTGTGGTAGTACATTCAGTGTGCGTTGATATACATAATGCTGTGGTATTACATGCAGTATGTTTTGATGCTATATATGCTATGCTAATATATGGATATATATATATATATGCTATACTAATATATGTTAAACTCTATACTATGTTAAACTAAAATTGCTACTATGAAAAATATTATTAACCGTTTCTCCATATTAAATTATGATATTGTATGTGTTATTTAGTGAACATAGATTTGGTGACTAATAGGATAAAGTGCAGTGAAAAACAGAGATGTGACAGGAATAGTACTGAGCCTTAAAGCTATTGACCTAAAATTAGGTGTTTGTCTTTGTCTTACAGTGAAAAGAAAAAAGTTCAAACCAGTCTTTTTTTTCTGCTGCCTGTGGCTTTTAACCTTGTAATGTGTTGGTTTGGTATTTATAAAGGCTAAAGAGAATGAAAGCAAATGCCTGAAAATGCTGTTTGTTTATGTAAAGGGAGCCAAGAATCCCCAGCAAACTGTGCTTTTGTCAGGAACTATTTTCCACAGCAGTAGGGAGTATTTTTTTGCAGCACGACGTCTAAGTGTTATCACGTAAAAAAAAAAGAAAAAACAGGGACAAGGATTTGTGTGATGAATATACTGTTTGAGGATTATTCTCCCTTTGGGGACGTGTGTATTACCGCAGGTGGTTCCTCCCCCAGCTTTCACAGAAATATCACTATGTATGTATATATATATGGTTATGTATGTGTATATATATATATATAGCATATATATATATAAACAATACATTGCTATAGACATAGATATATACTGTACATATATCTGTGTATATATATACACGTATATATGCATATATACATATATGTATAAATATATATAGATGTGTATATATATACAGCATATATATATACTGCGTATATATATATATTCACTCATACATATATACATATATGTGTGTTTCTGATGCACGAAGGGTTAAATTTTCACTGGGAATTCGAGTGGAGAACACACTTTCACATTATGCAGGTCCATAAACGCAGCTCATTGTGAAGAATAGTACTCAGGCCTAGTGTTATGTAATGTAATATGTCGTGAAATCCTGCCGTTTCCCCATCGGAGGTCACGGCAGGTTCAACCCACTGCTTGAGGCAGGTCATCACTGTTGCGCTGATCAAAGAAGTCATTATCCCTCCACATACTGTACTGTCTCTCCTCTCTCTATCACATTATCTTCTAATCCGTTGCTCATCATTTGCTATCTCTCATCTTTAGCACACAGACGGAGGAAAACATTCTTCAGAGCTTTGAAGCTCCACTTCCCTTGAATCAGTCACAGCCTAATCTATGTTGCTTGGAAACAACCCAGAATTTGGCTCCTAATTGGAGTGTGTGTGTGTGTGTGTGTGTGCTTTGTCCTGCAGACAGGTGGAAGGCAAATCTGTTGTGCAAACGCATGATAATGAGACAAAGTGAATTTCAAATTATATCTGGCACATTACCGGGGCAAATGAGCAACACCGGGCCAACTGGAGCAGGGCATGATAACATGCCTCTGAATACTGAGTGTGTAGTTGTGTGTGTTTGTGTGGAGTACACGTACATATACCACAGTGTTGTATACAGCGGTTTTCACTGCAGTATATATGAGATGTGGTCTGTGCTGCTGAACGCATACGTGAAGTTTGACCAAATCACTTTCACATGGGCGTAAAAACAGGGAGCGGAGCGTCCTGATTGGACAGTGAACTACTTGCACTCTCTCATCCCCTTTTGCTGCTTTCTTTTCACTTCACTTTTCCACTCTTTTTTGCACTAATCAACGTGGTTAGTTTGTGAGTTTAACCAGCACCAAACCTTTGGTAGATGCTCCTTTGAAACTCTATCTCGATACCCAAACAGTGCAAGTACATAATAAGACAAAAGATGAGACATCAGGCAGTGGTAAAAAAAAAAAAGGGCTCCTTTTTTTCAGTTTTTATTGCATTGAAAATATTAGAACCAATTTCTGTAGAATGGTCTGGACCACTGTCATGTTTTTGGAGGCCTAGTCCCAGCTTTGTGTATCATCAGTGCTGGATTTGTGAGTTCATCACTGCAAAAGATTGACTTCTCTTCATTACTCTACCTCTCGAGCAGACGTTAATGTGGTACTGGAAAATACCCCCGGTACTGTTCATCTAGTTCCTTGTCCCTGATAGACTACACAAGTCATGAGGTATTGAGTCTTTCCTGGCATTTTGGTGTCCAGACATGAAATGTCTTTTCCCTGTATCTTCTACTGGGGGACGTATTTACCCGCTCGTTTCTTTCCCCTGTATCTTCTGTTTAAAGACCCTACTGGGGGACGTATTTACCCGCTCGTGTCTGTTGGTTTATGTGCATCAGTAGTATTTCATCATGGAGTCACGTCCTGGTGTTTTGAGGTAATCGATCGTCTCCTTTGTGTTTCACTCATCCTTCAGCTGCATCTGCCTTTTTCCTCACTTGTCACATCTGATCTGCGTGGTTTTGTCTTTTTCTTTGTTCACCTCGTCTCTCTTCTCTGCCTGGTCCCCCGTTCCTCTGGTTTTTCTCTCTGTGTATAAGCCCCGAGGCCTTGAAGTCTTTGAAAGCACTGGAGCATGAATATTTCATGGGTGGTGTGGGTAGTGTTGGGACTTGAGGAAGGACGTGGGAGAAGAAAGACATAGAGAGAGAGAGAGAGAGAGAGCGATAGAGAGAGATGGATGGATAAATACTTTACGCAATTGGTACAAATTAGGAGAACGAAGTACAAATGCAAATGCGGAACAGAAGATGAAACACAACTAGAGAGGAGTAAAGGTGGAGACTTTGATGGATGACGACGCAGGGTGAGACCAACAGGAGGGAATTCATGTGTAAAAGCAAACGGAATCAAAGCAGCGGCACATGTAGCGACATGTTTGCTCCTGCGTTCGCCCACACACTCCAGCTAAGTGGCAAATTACAATCATCCTTGTCCGCATTCTGCTCCTCTTTTATTTCCAGCAGGGTAATTCTGTAATTGTCACCCACGGTCCTCGTTTCTTCGCTCAGTTCATCTTTCATAACCTCTCATTTCTCCCCCTCCTCTTCGTCCTCCTCTCGTATACTTTATACTTTGTCCATTTTCTAGACGAAGGCTTGTGGGATAATCTAATCGTGGTTTTCTCCACATGAGGCAATCTGTCATGGAGCTGCAGATACAGACCTTTGGATCTGTGCTGCATGCCAATGGGAAAATCAGGGAAGGAGGAAAAAAGGCAGGGAAAAACGAAGGAAGGAAGGAAGAGGAGGAAAGAGAGGCAGAGATTTTTTTTTAAAATCTACATTTCTCTCCTGTTAAGAAAAACTTTGCCAATATATTAGAAGCTGTACATCAATAATCAAAAAACACAAAAACACTGTAATACAGTTTATCATTCAAAATATTATTAAATACAAAAATAACACAAGTGGTTAATGACTTGCCTTACATCAAGAACGTCTCTTTCAACCTTCAATTAATTTATTTATTTGTGCTTGAGTTTTTTCGCACTCTTTTTTCTACATTTTCTTCATCTTTAGTTTATTTTTCGTCATGTTTTTTTTCACGCTCCTCCTTTCTCACCCTCCTTCTCTCACACTTTCATCTCATTCTCCCACTCCCACTCTTATCTTCTGATACTCGTTTGTCTCCACACAAGAATATAATTTGCCATTTATTTTCCTGTTACTCTGTTATGTATGAGGCACAGACAAGGTTGGACAAAAAAAGATAACAACAACAGAAATGAAAGATTTCTGCCGGGAGAGAAATCACCTTGGTGAATTGGGTTCCACAATAGCAGGTGCACAGGTTTAAGTGTGCACTTAAGTACAATAGCTGTCAGTCCAGCAAGGCCGAAGCCTTCTGTGAAACAATAGTCATTCTTGTGGAAGTATCGTGCACCTGCTCACCCCACCACACATTATACAAATGAACAGGGGAGGAAGAGAGACTCGGGGGCTCAGAGGAGGTGAGATCTTGTGTAATCGTAGAGAAAGAGGCTGAAAAACAATCCCCATGCTCTGCTGTCAAACTTCTAAATCCAACTAGACTTCTCTGTGAGATATCACTTTAGGAGCAGAGTTACAAAGTGGAGTCAAGTAGAGGTTACTGCTAAAGTACTACGACTATTAGACGTGCCCATACCCTCCTACCACGACGTGTTAATTTCTCTACTTTTACTGTTTCGTATATTGTGTGCATTACACATATGACATACTTCATGTATCATAAAACTCTTTTTTTACTCTTTTTTTTAATCATGTTTTACTACTAATACTACTACTACCACTGCCCATTTTATGATAACAACAACTAGTAGTATTGCAGCAGTATTCCTACAAATGATCGTTACAATTCTTTTCTGCACATAAACATTTCTCAAATACTATACACTATACCTGACTACAGTACTATTACTACTAATAAATAATACTAATAAAACTATTTTAACGACTAGTGATATTTAATTTACTCAAACGAAGATTGGTGATGGAAAAAATCATCAGAGTTGATTTTAAACCCTGATTTCATTATTATTCTACCCTCTAATCATCTCCTCATGTCCCAGATCAGTGATTTTCAAATTGCGGCCTGCGGGTCCAACCTGGCCCACCGAGCCGTCCAATCCGGCCAGCGACTGGATTCCAAAATAACCATCAAATAATGATGTTAGATCTTAACACAGTATTATATGGAGTCTTCAGTTCAACAAATAGAATAGATCACAGTCTGGCACTTTATATAAAAACAGAGCCTTGCCCACGTGAACAAGAAAGCAATTAAATGTGTGAAAGATGTCATTGTTGGGCGAGGTTCAAACTTACCGTCTGACTTGAATAACACACACATCTCACATCAGCAGGTGAGAAGTGGCTGAGTCAAAGTAGAACAAGGCCCCGGGGAGCAGCAACTCAAATGAAAGAGGCTAAATGCACTCTTACAGCAGCTGATGAAAACAGTCCCCGCTGTGGGGAGGAACGGTTCACACAGCACACACTCGGAGGCAAACAGAGCAGCTCATTCCACTTTTACAGCCGTGATTTACTCATCGTGTAACACAAGGTCACCTACAGCAATCGGGATCGCATTAGCACTGATACTGTGGAGTGGGTGAGGGTGGGTGTGATGCCAAGTGGGTGACGGAGACGGAGGACGAGCAAAGCTTGTTCCTGGACAGATGGTGCCTCTGCAGGCATTTTGGATTGTTTTTGTGGATGTGTGGGTGTGTGTGTGTGTGCGTGTGCGTGGTAAAGATTCTGGTACTGAACCATGTGCACGCTGAGTAGGTGGATTACCTACTCTTGTTGGAGAGGAAAATGATGAGCCAGGGGATTTGTGGAATTTAAAATAAAGCTGTATTTTGTAATGACAGCAAAAAAGAAAAACTCATGTTAATGTTTTCAACACTGCTTCTCACTAAATATCAACGCTGTACCCCGGAGCTTTTCTTGAACTGATTCCTCTACGGTTGGCATTTTCAAGCCTTAGCCATTAGCATTTTCATTTGCAATAATTATTCAGAGTTATATGGCAGGGCACAGTGGATTTAACAGTGGCACAGGATCCTGTACCATGTGGTAAACAACCTTGTCTGTCGCTGTGACTAACTCTTCATAAGCCAGCTCACGTATCGAGTGAGAGTTTCAATTTCTAACCAGATGGCCATAAATGACTCTTTCGTCTACAAATATATGACCTGATTTGTAATGAGGAAGTGCGATCAATACGTAGTGGCAGCTGTAATTGAATAGTTTCCACAGTGAGGTCCAGCAGACGCCCCAGAGAGCCAGAGAACGGTAAAAAAAATAAATGTGTTTTTAGGTTCTGTGCCTTTTATTGTTAAAAAAAAAAACAAAAAAAATAACATAAACGTTGTGAACATACTGTAGTAGAGGTGGAAGAATTAACACACACACACACACACAGAGCTAATGTAAAGTAAATTAAACTGATGTGATTTCCAACATTGTGCATTTTGAACCGATCCGTCGGTTCTTCACATGAACTCTTCAGATCCATCCACAGGATTATATGGAATGTGCATATTTCCTAAATGGAGCATTGTGTGGATTAGTCAATAATCCAACAGGAAGTGGATTTATATACCATCCTGGTATTGTGGATGAAGTATTCGATGTGAAGTCTTTACAGGAACGGAAAGGTCAAAGGTTAAACCCAGTGTTTCCATCACTGTCGTCACCACTAGGCACCTTTGTTTTCCTCCTCTTTTCTCACACAGAGGTAAATTCTGGACCTTCATTTTCATTTTGCACCAAAACATGCAAAAACTGCAGATTCTGTTTGAAGTAAACAGGGACATAAACTGTGGTCGATTTGTTTTTAGTGCATTTATCGATCACTTTGGTGCCGCGGTGAAAGTCTCGACAGTGAAGTTAGTGCCCAATGCTACACCAGAAGCTGATTAAAACTTTTTTTTTTTTATAGCTGATGTGAGGCTGAAGTAAGAATGTTCCAGAACCCTTTTCTCAGAGTAGCATCGAGGTGTCAAACAGCTGGATACGCCTGAGGTGTCGAATTATTACTCAGCAATTTCCACTTATTTTCAATAGGAGAGCAGGGACTTCCAACCACTGTGCTGCGGCAAAAATAGAGATCACTATTTTGTTGTGGAAAACTATTCCATTTCACTTAATATATACTGCTAATAATTTGTCTTTGTCTACGTTTGTCTCATACTTAACCAGAGTCCTATCTACAGAAGGAGGGCCCTGTGGACGTTTTTGTTTTTTTTGCTGACAAATCTTAATTTTGTTAGCATTGATTCCCACACATCATATTGTTCAATATGTGGCAGAGACCCTAAAGTCGTCACAGTCGGTGTCTTTGTGTTGTTGGGAGCAGGCGTGCTGAGGGCGTCCTGGCTGGAGGAACGGTGACATTTGACAAAGAGCAGAGGAGGATGGAGGAGAGAAGTGAGAAAGTGAGAGGAGTGAGAATAGATGTGACTCAGAGGAGGTGGAGAGAAAGCAAAGTGAAAATTAAATGTTTCTATTTTTAAAGTGTCATCGTGGAGACACGAGTTCACTCCCTGAGCCTGGATAGATTCACTTCAATACACTTTGAAAACGTCGTCATTCTTTTTTTATTTTTTATATTTTTTACTTGAAGGTCAAACATAACTCCTCATCTTTGGGTTTAAACCTCTTCATTAGATTATGGGGTGTCCACACTACTGTTCAAAGTGATTTAAAGGGGAGCATGCTTATAGACTTATGGTGATTTGTCCTTATTATAATCTGTCATAATTTCTTGTCAACATTTTATTTACAGCCACTCCAACAACATTTTCCCATCTTCCCAGAGTCCATTCCCATTTGTTTAAATGCTTTATATTCAGCCCAATAGTGTTGTTCGTGTTTGTCTTGCAGTCATCTGGTGACCTGTTGACCTCTGTCCCGATGGCACCTACAAGGGTGGTTCAGAGGTGGCCTTTTGAAATTGTTGGCCGCTCCACTGGCCGACCCTGAGCATCTGTGTGTTTCGGGGCTCTGACCTCAGACTGTGCTCCTGTCTGGAATGTAATATCGACTTTGTCCATAACTCCAGAATCTGCAGAAAATACCAAAGTAAAATCCAGTTGATAAACCACTGGTCTGTATCTGTGTCTGTATTAGACAGACAGAGAGTGAGCTACGCTGTTACAGACACTGCGTTTTCATCAGACCGTCTACTGTGTGTTGTAAGATTTAAAGCCCCTGAACTCTTTTCACCTTCGCTTTTAATATAAAAACATGTTTGCTCTCTTATGGATAATAAGCTGAGTCACACAAAAAAAAAACCATGACTCGCTGCTGCTCCCAGAGGCTCCTCTTCTCTTGTTACTCCTATAAGATTGTGCACCTGCATCACCTCAGGTGGAATCCTCCTGGCTTTGTGTTTGAAGTTTCTAATTTAATTATCATCGGGCAAGAAAAACAGAGAGGATGACTTGGAGAATAATAAACAGCATGTTGTGCGTTTTGTTTTTTAAGCAAAAACAATATCTTTTTTTTTTCCTGGTTTGTTAATGAGACGAGAGAGGACAATGACTGTGGGAGGAATTGGGTTTTTACAGCTCCTTCTGTTACATCCATAACAAATGTTAACACAAACGTTCCTGTATGGCTGTGATTTAAAGAGCTCCAGGATTGTTCGGTTTTAGTGTTGTGTTAAAACAACAACAACAACAACAACAAAAAAACCCAATCGACAAAAGGATTTACATTCAAAAATGATGACTTTAATAAAGGTTTGAGGTTTTTACTGGGTACATGTCCAGAACAGTACAACACCACACGGGACACAGACATACAGCATATACTAGGTATACAAACAGTATTAAAAAAAACACACACACATATAACGTACTGTAAATCAAGAAGAATTAGGCGAGAAAAAGACAATCGTCGCAGAGTCAGAAAGGCAAATTTCTTCCATTTCATTTCACACCTATTACAAAGCTCCAAAATGCTTTTTCAACATGACCTAAACAGATGCCAAGCATAATAATAACCATAACACTGCAGATGGAGCGGCATCAACAAAGCAGAGCAGAATCACTTGACCTGATTTAACATCAGTTTGGCAGCACACACACACACACACACACACGCATGAAGCAACCATGGTAGCGTTTCACACTTTAATTGTAGCATTCGTGAGTCACCTCTCAGTGTCAGATAACAATCAGGATAATACATTTATCTACATGGGTACGATCACCCTGACAGGCACTTTCCACTAAGGAGTATTTAAATGCATCGCAAACTGGTGTTAATTTTTTGGGGAGATTTGTTTGAAGCTTGAGGGGGGTATCTGTGGGGGGGGGGGGCCCTCCGCTGCCTGTTTAATGATAAAAGCAACAGAATGGCAGTAAAATGTGAAAATAAAAATGAGATAAAGTTCATTGGAAGTTTGAAGCAGTGTGTTGGTGTGGGAGGGAGAAATCTGAAAATAGTCCTTTCCACAGAGCTGCAGAAAAAGTCTGGGAGCAAAAATGTTTTTTTTTAAAGCACTGATGTGTAAAAGCTTCTTCCAAACATACGTCTTGTTTTATTGCACTGAAGTAATTTGTGTGTAGATGCAAAGGACCGTGGTTCAAATATTAAAATAATGTAGATTCAAAATATTACATTTTGTTTTGTTTTTTTCCAAGAAAGCAAATTCAATGATACTCCAGGCTTCACCCAAAGTTTTATCCAAACTTTTTTTCTATCCTTGAAATGTGTCCCAAAGTTTTAGCTAAACTTTTTTTCTATCCTTGAAATGTGTACAGAATGATAACGTGGGCTCAAAGATTTATTACGAATGCATTAGAAACCTTGAAAGAAGACAAAAACATCTACCAGAGGGCGTCCTTTCCTTAGGGAAGGAGTCGTCGTTCAATAAATCATCGGGGGAACAGACGATTCTTCACTCTTTCAAATCATCACTCCTTGGATGCAGATTTAGGAGGCACTGTTCTCTTGTGTGACACGCAGGAGCATCACGTTGCCGTGGCGACACTAAAACTATATAAATACATCATGCGGTGAAAACGAAGAGAAAAAAAAGTGTAGCCTGACTTTGAACCGGCACCTGATCCATCTGTCTTTTCTCTGCTCTGCCTCTTTCTTTCTTTAGTCTTTCATCATCTCACTCCTGCCGACACCCGCAGCTACTTGATATTCCCTCCACGTTCTCCAACATTTTTCATCACCTTACCTTGACTCCTAACTCTTAAGCTGCCCCCGCCCCTACATTTACTTCAGTTTGACCTGAGTCAACCGGTTTAATACAACGTAGAGTGGCCGTTGGTTTTCAGCCGATGGAGTCGTAAAGAACACGATGAATTGAAACTTTTGGCATGTTAATACAGGATGGAATTGTCTTTATGTCATGGTAATTTCTTGTATTTCCTCCGTTCTGTATTTTTAATTAATCATTAATCAATTGGTCATAAAGACCATGGTTGGTAGATTACGGGACATGTTTAGCCATTTTACTGGTCGCAGCTAACAAACATTTTCCATATGTGTGATCTACGAGAGCAATATTAGAAATGCTTATTATGGGCAGTGGGCAATTATATTATATTTTATTATTTTATATTTATATATGTATATAAATATATATATATAATATTTCATATATCTTGTGCTCAGTCTGGCTTGGCTGTAGTTGTTTTCTCACCAATGACGACCTAATTCAAACTAGCCTTAATCTGCCAACATTTTCTTCCACTCATCAGTTTGATCCTCAATTTTAAAGAATACATTTGACAGCAACACATCCATGCCCTTTTTTCACCTCCTCTCCCTGTCACTGTGAACTCCTGCTGTGTTTACTACATGGCTCCCCCGGTTCCTTGGTGGCTCCTCCAAAAACACCGACTCCATTCTCTGTCCAGGTGAAAACGGAGCCTTGGGTGATTTTACTGCAGCGAGACAGACTGGCCACCTGGTTAGAGGACAGGACCCGGTCCCAAAGTCCCACCTGAGACAACTCTCCCACCATGGCTTGGGATGAGTCAAAGCCCCCACCTAGGGAATCCTGAGGAGTGAAGGCATCAGAACGTTATCTGAAGGTCAGACAGAGCCTGAACGTTTGAAGCCTTTTGCTGAGTTATCCAGGCACCTACCTGTTCCTGTCCAAGCACGAGCACTCCTCCAGGTCTGACGTGGTGTCCAGTTGCTAAAGCATGGCCCTCGCCCCTCAGCTTCCCACCCTGATAGGCCTGCCATGCTCCTCCCTTATGGTTCCAGCTCACACAGATGTGCTGCCAGCTCCCTCTGGACAGATTCAGAGGTAATTGTGCCACCTAGGAACACAGAGGGCAGAAAGGTCACTTAGGGTTTTACACCATGGTGTATGATGTCAGGCTAAAATACCAGAGGACAGGTTTTGACACTTTCAGTATATGCTGTGTTGCCATTCAATCCAGGAGCTCCCGCTTTAGCACCAGCGCCACATGTGTGGGTAAAACACAGTCCCGTCTCCATACCTTGTCGTTAACGAGCAGCTCAGCAGGTGTGTGCATGCCTTGCATCAGCACCACTTCATTGGCCTGCTCAGGAACAGCGTAGGACAGTGGCGTCCCGATGCCAACGTCTGTGGACCGCAGCCACAGACAGACGGTGAAAGCCCGCAGCTTTGGGACAGAGTGTTTCATAACAGCGTACATGTAGTTTGTTCTTGTGGGGAAGGAGAGCCTGTAGCCTTCTGGGAACAAATGCTGAGACATGCCTGTGGGGAGAAACAAAAAAAAAAAAAAAAAAGATAAAGTGGACCTTCGTTCAAAGCAGATTTCAATTCAATCAATTCTTATTTAATTCCATAGATGCAGTATATATATATATATATATTTATTTATCTGAAGATCTGAGTGATTCCTGACAAATTAGAGCAGGGGTTTCCATAGATGCAGTATATATATATTTTTTTCTAGCATTTAAAAGGACAAACTTTGTTGGCAATTTCTTGTAGTGATAAATTACCGTTCTCCAGTCCTGAGATCCGATTCTGCAGTTTACTGATGCCATGGTCGATTTTCTCTTTGTGCTTCTCCGTTTCCAGCCTGAGGGCTTTTCTCTCCTTCTCCAGCAGCTCTAACTTCCTCTCCAACTCCCCCTCTAAGTCTTCCATTCTCCAGGGGTTGTCAGCGCCACTTTTGTGACCGTGGTCAGCCAGCCTTTCTGGGCTGTCAGAAATCCCACTCTCCCCCAGTAGTGATGTGGTGCTTCCCTTTGTCTGGTTGTGGGGAAACGGGCCAATGTCTGACTGCAGAGAAGGAGGACATTAAATAAACACTGCTTCACACTGGGAAAATAGTAAAAGAGGGAAAGATTCCCTGGATTCCATTAATAAATAATTTCTCTAAAACGTTGCGTCAACCCTGGTGCTATATCTAGTGGCAATTTGATATAGTCTTACTATGATGTAATGTGTTGAGCTCAAAGAAAGGTTTGCTTTTGTGGAATTATATTTCAGGGAAAAAATAGATCATGTTTATTTCCTCCACTGACCTTTTTCCAATTTAATAACGTCTTTTGCATTTGTGTGTCTCTAAGAACAATTGAAATCTCTTAACCTAAAGAACTATGTCATCATTATCGTTGTGCAACGGCTGCTGTGGAGATGTGAAAATATCTGGTGAAATGTTGATCACTTATGGATTGTTTGTTTTTGTTTTTGTTTAAATGAAGACTTTTCTGCTGTTTTATCACTAATTTCCGTTACGGCGCAGAGCCATTTTTAATTTCATAAACAATTCTTCTTCTACCGCTCCTTCTTACAGCTGATCCCTTGAGGGGTCAGCACAGGGGATCATAAGCCCCCTTCTCACCCTCTTCCCTTTCTCCTCTTCTCTAACTCCAATTATCTTCATGTCCTCGTCCACTACATCCATTAATCATCTTCCTTCCTTCCACCTGCCTCACTGCTCCTTTACCAAATCTCATTGTCAAATATACTGGAAAAAAAAGAAGCTCATTCCACATACAGTCCATTTAGGTCACTCCTTATCGGGACGCTCCTGTCTCCAAATCAAACATCATAGCATGTCTCACAAGCATCTTGTAAACCTTGTCTTCGTCTCTTGCTGCTCGTCTTCTGCCATACATCATCCCTGACACTTATTACTCCTGTGATATTCCCAGGCATTTCCTGACTCACTATCCGTCTTGTTTCTCACACTCATTCACTGTGTCATCATAATCTACAGCTAGCATGTATATAAATTTTTTTATCTCTGTCCTTTATCAACCTAACCTACTGCATTTTAATCTCTATTACTATGTTGGTTATAAGGGTATGGTACGGTTATGAAATGAGTCGATTAGTTTAAAATTGTGTCAATTTTTAGCAAAACTGTCTCTTTGCCTCACATATCTGTAAGTCATTAACTATGTACGACCTTTTTTATTTCTAAATTCATACTCGTAGTGACCTTAAAGTCCTGTAAGATGCTGAGTCAAACAAATTATGCTGCAGTAATTAAGCAGTCTGGAATTTCAGATGTATCAGTTTATCTCACAGGATTTAATGAAGTCGACAAGAAAACGACAATTCAAATAACATTAGGAAAAAAGAACGAGTCTTTAGGATTTAGTTCTCAGCCTGCACCGAGCTTAGTGCAGTGGGTCACCACACACCGGGATCAGCCCGACATTACTGCCAGCTTACTGTCAGTGAGCCGATATAATTGGAACCACCCAGATGTTACAGGAACATCTACAGCCTCTTCAGCTGATGTATAGAGGTGGAGAGCAATACAGTGGATAACCACCGGGTGCACGTTCACGTATTTTGGCATTTCATCAAATGTTTACTGCTGTTTGTTTAACATGAAGGAGGATTCAAACAATGATGGGATCAGTTTGAATTTGCTTTCAAATGGAATTATGTTCCAATGATGGTTGCTCAAAAAAAGACTGTGTGAGCAGCAATCAAGCAACGTGAATATTCTTGCGGTTATTTGATCTGACACCAGAGTGAGCTCCTGAAGTAGGACGAGTATCTCACCAACACTGAAATGTGATTGGAATGAAAATACAGGCAGTGAAAAGAGGGGGGAAAAAAGACAAAACATCCTGGGAGTTTAACCGAGCTCTTCTTCCGACTGTGGCGACACACAACAATGTGGTGCATTATACTGAAGGAAGGCAGCCCCGTGCACACATGTCCTAAATAAAAACCCCACAGAGTGAGCATCACTCTCCTGCAGAGAAACACATCCAGCTCATGCTCCGCACAAATATAGGCACCTCATAAATTATTTATGGGTTTTCTTTGGACAGAAACGAGGTTATAAATCATCCATTTCTGGTCAGATGGGAGCCGGATTCATGTTACTCTCTGCTTTACTCTCTTCACCCCCCCCTCCTGCCGACCCCCCCAACCCGCCCATCTTTATCCTCATGTATCCTATCCTGATTCCCCTCCCCCTATCTATGCCTTATTCCTCATCTGTCTCACATTATTTTAAAAAGTGAATCTCTCGAACTGACTGAGGCAGCCGTGCAGTGCAAGACACTAATAATCTCGATCGTGCTGAAATTCAAATGTGCATTGCAATTTTTTCCACATCAGTTACCTATTTTGATTTAACACCATTAAATCAAACATGCTTTTATTCTTGTGCAACATTGTAAAACGATGAAGGTTAAAATCTATTGAGTTTAGCTGAAATATGGAGACCCAGCAGAATAACAAATATAGCCACAGGTGTCAACTCTAGTGATGGCATTTGAAGCAAAATGAACCTCCGTGATGGAGATCCTTTATTCTACCATCTAGTGGATCCTTGGGGAATAATTGGATCTGTGTTCTGTGTAGATTTTTTTTTTTTTTTTTGACTTGACACTCTCCTTACCTCCAGTTTTTCTATGCGGTCTTTGAGCTGAGTGATAGCCTGCTCCAGTTCATCCACAGCCCTGGCGGTTAGGTAGTGGCCACTGTCGGGCGCCGACGCCGGGCTGTCCCGCACCATCATCCGCTCCAGGTGCGTCTCCTCAGCCGTGCCGTGACCACCCCACAGCCCCGAAGCGCAGCCCCTCCTCACTCTCGGACAGTTTCCCTGTCAGCTCTCTGATGGTTCGCTGATCGCTTAAAATCTGGTCTTTCTGTTGCAGAACAGTCTGTCGGAGCTCCTCTGCCGTGGTGCGGAGATAACCCCAGTCCTCCCCGGCGTACAGCGATTGGTCGTCAGATTGTTGTCGAAAGTTTTTAGGGTTGCATTCCCCGGCGGGTATCGGCGTGCAGATGAGCCTGCTGACCGTGGGATCGTGTCCGGTGAGTCCCGTGACCCCGTCCAGTCCACCGAGTCCGATGTTAAATTTTGACGCTAAATCTGGTGTTTCAGAACCATGGAGAGCTCCCAGAGACCCGGCCCTGGCCACGGAGCCGCCGACCGCGGGTGTTTGCGCCACCGCGTCCGGATACAGCGAGTGGTTGTCGGTTGCTGGTTGCTGTTGTGCCGCGGCAGCCTTGGAGGATCCGGTGTGAACCGCTGCGATGATGCAGATAACTGCCCCGATGAAGGCCACCATCCCGGCGGCCAGGATAATAACGATGAACTTCAGGGTGGCGGTGGAAAGGATCGATTATCCTAAAAAATCTTCTACGTGCACCGATGTAAGTACAGAGATGACGAGAAACTCCGAAAAGTGTTGAGTTGTCCCTTTAGGCTCAGTGTTAGAGGGTGGAGAAAAAAACCCCAACATTCAGATTTCCTGCTTCTTAACAAGAGCTGACCGTTAGAAAGTTCCGCAACATAATTAAAAAACGATCAGGGAGTCTACACACAACCTGAGGAGCAGACCCTCGGTGAGTCCCCTCCTCCTCTGGTTAGCGCGCATGTCTTCAGTTTTAAGACAAAATGTAGCCTGTTATTACTGAGAGAGAGAGGGGGAGGGGGAGGGGG